TATAAGCATAACGGCTAATATGTTATACAAATACCGTCCAGCAACTTCTTTATACGGCTAGCCTTGTTTTCTAAAGTTATACCTAAGTATGCATTTTGGAAAAAAGCGAGGAAAAAGTGTTATGAGGTCTCATTGCGTCTTGGACATTTTTGGAACATTTGCAGCATTTTAATATTAATTTCGATAGGTCAGTAAGGAGCAAATGTTTGTTTTTTTTTTGTCCGTACTCACCCCAGATAGCTTTTGTGTCCCCCTTCAATAGATTTTCAGAATTTGAATTATCTAGAACGCTATATAGTAGTTATTCAATCAAACGATATAAAAATAATGTAAATTAGAAGCAATGCCACAGAGTCATCCATTGAATTCTCAGAGAATTTCTCAGATACCTATAATTTTATTCATGAACTTGCTTCTAACATTTGATTAATATTTCTAATTGTTTTTCTTGCTTTGGTATGGTATTTATTCTCTATATTATTGTAACAGGATGAATGTATATCAATTTTTTTTTATCTACCTGATAATGTATCGTTTCTGTATGATGAAGTGTCTACAATTTAGTTGTTTATTCTGTACCTACCTTACTGATAGCCCAACATTTCAACGGCACATTTTTGTTTATTTTTCAACTGCAGCCACCAAAACAAAACTTGAGATAGGTACTCCAGTATTTCACAAAAATTATCGGACTGTGTTTTACAGAGCCTTGACAACATATGTATATAAAAATGCAAATAAACAAATTATCAGCAGCTTTTCTGAATCCGTCAATTCTCAACAGCTCCTATATATACAGGGTGGGGCATCTCATCAGGAAGTTTTCTTTATATTATGAGAAACTACATTGAATGTTACTAAGTTATTCGCAACAATAGTATCTGAGTAGACATAAGATATTTTTGATAGCAAAACCAATTAATCAGTTGTATCCTTATTTCATCTCATATCACGACACTGATGACAATAAGGAGTCGTAGCAGAACTTAAAGTGTCCCACTTGAATTTCAAATTGTATGTATGTACCTATATGTACAACTTGAGACTTACACATTTTCGAATCCATGAGTCTACCTATCAGTTTCGAATAATAACTGTTACTCAATTGTCAGTGCAAGAATTACCGCGCCATTTTCAAATTCGACATTTCTTCCAACAACATTTTTGCGAGTCAAAACAAAACTTCTGACGTTTGACGCATCAATCCATGTTCAGACGTTTGTCGACGCAAGAATCTAATAAAATTGTGGCACGCTTCCAAAATCATCAGAACGTATTTTTAATCACAACGCGAACATTCTCTATAATCTCTACCCGGAATGGTGGTTACGCCAGTGAGATATACAGAGTGGAAAGTCTAACTGGAACAAATTCTGTAACTTGTTAAATAAAGGTTTATCTCAAAATGCCTGAAACATGTCGATTTTTATTTTCAAAGGGGCATATTACAAAGAGATTTGTTTATCATTTTAATTATCTGGAGGGTTGTAGCCACCCCCAACTTTTTTTTTTCAAATGGAAGGGTAGGTTGATTAATTTTTTAATGGCAAGCTTGTTCAATTGCAAATACACTTCAATTGTTTTCTGTTACTTTTTATAAGCAATGTGTCGGAAATAAATTAAATAAGGAAATAGTTACTGAAATTATACGATCCGCGTACGCACCTGACTACGACGTAGACAGTATAAGATTTTTTGTATAGTGTATAGGTACACTGTTTTTTACCTGATAGGCCCAATGAAACACCTGCTCGATTTGAAATGAATGTGATTGATTTGTTAGTACTTGTTTGCAATCCCACGTGTGAATTAAAACCGAAAAATAAGACAATGCCCTATTTAACCGAGACGCATCGTATCGAAATTTTAACGATGATCGGATATGGGGACAGAAGTCGAACACAGGCTGAAGTTGCTCGTTTGTTTACTGAAGTTCATCCAGAATTACCATCAATTAATCGAAGTACGATCAGTAAAATTGAAACTCGATATCGGGAGTTGGGCCACGTAAGGGATGCTCCTCGACAAAAGGTTTTAAAAGTCGACGAAGAAGCCCAGTTGAACATATTGTTGGAAGTTGAAGAAAATCCTGTTACTCCAGCTAGGCAAATAGCTCGCGTTCATGGTGTCAGTCACACAAGTGTTTTGAAAATTCTGAAAGCAGCCAAAAAGCACCCATATAAAATGCAAAACCTGCACGAGCTTAACGAAGATGATCCTGATCGTAGAATCGAATTTTGCGAACGAATGATGGCTTCTATCGATGGTGGACGAATTGCTTTGGAATGGGTGCTGTTTTCCGATGAGTCTACGTTCACATTACATGGGCACGTCAATCGACAGAACTGCCGTTATTGGGCTGACGAAAATCCCCGTTGGATGCGTGAATGCCATACTCAAAGGCCTCAAAAAACAAACGTCTGGGCAGGAATTATTGGGGATCGCATAGTAGGTCCTTTTTTTTTCAATGGAAACGTAACCGGAGAAACATACCTTAATATGCTCCAACAAGAACTGATTCCTACGTTAGTAAATTTATTCCCCAATAATTTGGATCCCAACTTATTTGACCGACGGATGTGGTTTCAACAAGATGGGGCACCACCACATTTTGCTCAAAATGTACGGACCTACATTAACGAAGTGTTTCCAAATAGGTGGATTGGAAGAAGGGGCCCAATTGAGTGGCCAGCAAGATCACCCGATCTTACCCCATTAGATTTTTTTTTATGGGGATATCTGAAGAGCAAGGTTTATGACACTAAACCTAACGACATCGCCGAGCTTCAACAACGAATCACGGACGAAATTAGGCAAGTAACGCCGGAAGTGTTACAAAATGTTCGGAATGCTTTTTATTATCGATTGGGATTTTGTCAGCAACAAGGTGGAGAGCAGTTTGAACATTTATTGCATTAAAATAATTTCAGTAACTATGTCCTTATTTAATTTTTTTACGACATATTGCTTATAAAAAGTAACAAAAAAAAATGGGAGTGTATTCGCAATTGAACAAGCTTTCCAATAAAAAATTAATCAATCTACCCTTCCATTTGAAAAAAAAAAGTTGGGGGTGGCTGCAACCCCCCAGATAATTAAAAAGATAAACAAATCTCTTTGTAATATGCCCCATTGAAAATAAAAATTGACATGTTTCAGGAATTTTGCGATAAACCTTTATTTATCAAGTTACAGAATTTGTTCCAGTTAGACTTTCCACTCTGTATAATTCGCGAGTAGCGCAATCGAACTCGTAATTATAGAATATGTGTTAATATCCAGGGGTTATAGTGAGTGATCTTATGCCAAGTGGGTTCAGATCATGTCTGCTCCATGGCGAGTGCGCGAAGGAGCTCTCAAGAAAAACGTGGAGAATTTTGTAGCGCAGCCATTGGTAGAGAATGGAATACATGCGCTCCCAAAGTTGAAACTACAGATGATTGAAAACGTAAATACATTTTTTCTTGAACCGCAAAAATCATGCGAAATTCCAACACTCCAATTTACACATTTGAAATTCCATGACTTTTTCAGTTTTCCTATAGCTTTCCCCTCATTCTCAGCAAATTTGGATACATTTCATGTACTTTTCAGATCCCTCTCTCAATAATTGTCTCATAAAACAGTACCATAGAGTACAGTTTCCATCAACGATTTGTAAAAATATTTCGAGTTCATGAATAAGTATCGCTCAAATCAACATCAGAATAAAACAAAAGTCGGAAATTAATTTTCTAGCACTAATAACTGTTCAAATGAAGAAAGTAGTGATTGTAACAGTAATAATAAACATGTTTGGGTCTCTCTATATAAATATTCTTCAGGACCGTGAGCGTTCCATTTGAGAAACACCAAACATAAATTCACTTTCAGTATAAACAAAAGCAAGTTAGTTATCTTATTAAATATCGTGTCCTCATAAAATACGCATATATTGATGTTCTAACTTTCAAATCGTTATCTTCAAAAACTTGGCAAACTGGTATAACTGGATATATTTCGAATGACCAATGGTTGTTGTTAGTTAAAGTAAGGGACCCTAGTTAAAGTACCATGATAGGAATACTCCTAATATATAGGTCGCGTGCAAGAACTGTCAAATGACCGACCCTGGAGGCAAAACATATTTGTTTACAAGTGATCGAAATAGTTTTCCACAATTATTTTGGCATATGAATCGTATTTTTCCGCTATTCATCAATTCGCTAATGCCATCACATTGTGCTGTTGTAAAATGCACAAAAACTGCAGCGGAAGATGAAGAAATCCGGATGGTACATTATGATTCAAAAGTAAGTACCTACTATAGTCACTCACATAGTTTTCATTTTTGAAATTTGGTTATTTCTCTGATTTCTCATCGGAATTCCTTCTGCAATAGGATCAGCTAATAGAAATATACCTGAAATTTCTAGAATAATGCAAGAAGATTGGATTCATGCAATCAATCGGTAGGACTGGTCTGACATGTTGACAATCGTGTGTGTTGTAGACATTTTCAATCTATTAGCAGCATTAGCTTGTATTGCAGAAGTGGCAGAAGGCAGAAGGAATTTTAATAAGGAATGACAACATTTCATAATGCTAACTATGTGAGATTACTATTTACCTGAAAAATCATATTCCTTAGTCTCTTGCTGCATTTTTTGTGCATCGTACAACAGCACAATGCGAAGGCATGCTTGAATTAATGAATAACGCAAGAAACACGATTCGTATGTCAGAATATTGTGAAAAACTATTTCAACCTTTTGATTCCTCTGTAACCAAATAAAAAAGTGAGGTTGTGTTTCAATAATTCACAGAAGAATGAGGTTGTGTTTCAATATTTTGCCTCCAGGGTCGGTCTTCGTGCACGCGACCTATAAGCTTAATAACCTCAAATCACATACGATATATTTAGTTCTGCAGTCCGATAGATCAAATACTCTGTGACAGTTTCATGTAACTGTTGAGATACGTGATAGAATTGCATCTACAAGTTGATTTTTGCATTCCAGGAAGCGAGATCCTTGAAATCGGGAGACCTGAGTCAACAGGAGTCCAAAAATATGGCCCAAACGAACCTCAAACTGACCACTGATAAGTTTAGCAGCGAAAGAACAGCTGTAGCATCTCAGCAACAAAGACAAACAGTCACAGCTAGTGGCATCTACAACCAAGAAAAACACAGCTCCAGTTCTAGTCACGTATTCTCAACTTCCTCGAAAAACTTCAGTACCTCAGCTATGATGCAAAAACAGGTAAAAAACTCCACAAGAAATACAAACCAATCAATTATTATAACGCACGAATTGAAACAGAAATTACTATTGAAAATTTGAAGAGCAATCCTCCTAATTCCTCGTTTTGTTTCAGTTTCATTTAATGAATGGTACTCCCGAAGAAGACATCCTCAACACCTCCCTAGACGACCTAGACGCTCTAACAGCATCGTCCGACATCAACGAGATCGAACGCGCCAAACACAAATACTCCACCTACCTAGACGAATCCGTCAGGTGCCTCCAGAAGCTGGACCAGAGCAAAGATGCTCCCCTAGTACTCAACAAAATCAACGACGTCATGCAAAAAGCCTGGGCCGTACCAACTTATGGCCACGAGCTCGGTTACGCACTGTGCAATGCCTTAAGAAACAGTGGGGGGCTGGACCTTATCATGCAAAACTGCACTAAGTCCGATGAGAACCTGCAGTTCACGAGCGCTAAGCTTTTGGAACAGTGTCTGACTGCGGAGAACAGAGCTCATGTCGTTGAACATGGCTTGGACAAAGTCGTTAACGTAGCCTGCGTTTGCACGAAGAAAACGAACTCAGTAGACCACTCGAGAGTTGGCACAGGCATCTTAGAACACCTTTTCAAGCACAGTGAAGAGACCTGCAGTGACGTAGTGAGGCTAGGTGGCTTGGATGCTTTATTATTCGAATGCAGGAAAAGCGACGTGGAAACCTTGAGGCACTGTGCTGGGGCGCTAGCCAATCTCAGCTTATACGGCGGTGCTGAGAACCAAGAAGCAATGATCAAGAGGAAGGTACCGATGTGGCTGTTTCCTCTCGCTTTCCATAACGATGACAACATCAAGTACTACGCCTGCCTTGCCATTACCGTATTGGTAGCTAATCCAGAGATAGAAGCGGAGGTGCTATTATCAGGCACCCTAGGGCTTGTTGAACCTTTTGTTACAACACACAATCCCTCAGAATTTGCAAAGTCTAATCTTGCACATGCTCATGGTCAAAGCAAAACCTGGCTCAAAAACTTGGTACCTGTACTGAGCTCAAAGCGGGAGGAAGCAAGGAACCTCGCAGCATTCCATTTCTGCATGGAAGCTGGTATCAAGAAGCAGCAAGGCAATACCAACATCTTTTCGGAAATAGGTGCAGTTGAGTCATTGAAAAAGGTGGCTAGTTGTCCGAATGCCGTTGCCTCAAAATACGCAGCTCAAGCCTTGAGGCTTATTGGGGAAGAAGTTCCTCACAAGCTCAGTCAACAAGTGCCTTTGTGGTCAGTGGAAGACGTTGAAGAGTGGGTGAAGCAGATTGGGTTCCCAGACATTGCTCCTAGTTTTATAGAAAGCCGAGTGGATGGGGATTTATTATTGCAGCTAACCGAGGAAAATCTCAAGGAGGATATTGGACTCATTAATGGAATCAAAAGAAAAAGGTATGGAAATCTTTATTATTCTACACAGAGACGGTGATATATATCTTGAGTTGTTTCACAGATTCACAAGGGAACTGCAGCAGCTCAAGAAAATGGCAGACTACACCTCCAAGGACCCAGCTAACATCAACAACTTCCTGCAAACTCTGGGCGCAGAGTTCTGTATTTATACTTACAGCTTCCTCAATGCAGGTCTAGAGAAGAAAGACTACCTCACGAACATATCCGAAGACCAGCTTCTGGACGAGTGCGGCATCAAAAACTCCATACACAGGTACAGAATCATGGACGGCATCCGTCAGATAGAAAGTGGGCTGGGCAATGGGCTGAACGAAGACAGTATAGACAAACCTTTGGACGTTTTCGTCAGCTATAGGAGGTCTAATGGTTCGCAGTTGGCTAGTTTGCTCAAGGTCCACTTGCAGCTGAAGGGATTCAGTGTGTTTATAGACGTGGAGAGACTGGAGGCTGGCAAATTTGATAACAATCTTCTACAGAGTATCAAGAAAGCGAAGCATTTTCTACTGGTTCTGACACCGAACGCTTTGGATAGGTGTGTGGATGATCACGAAGGAAAAGATTGGGTCCATAGGGTAAGCAATCATCGACAAAAGATGGATTTATGCACAATGCTTGTTCAAGGATCTGTAATTTCAAAATCATTGTTGGTATCAGTGGCGTACCCAGAAGTGTACATTGGGGGAAGGGATATTTTTCTTTTCAAACACATTTCAATTCATGGTTATTGGTAACTACACTAATTTCAAGCAATACTGAATAAAATCTGAGCGCCTTAGCTTGACTGATAACAATTTCATCAATTTTTCCTTCAATAGATATGACTGTGAATTGATGGCATGGAAAGTCCATTAAGCCTTTATTAGGCGTTAGTATTCCTTGAATATGTTTTGATGAGTTTCAGAGTAGAGAAGATTATTTGTGGTATCGCAGTGGTCACTGGCAATGTACAGAAAATGCTCATGTCATATTGGTTACAAATCTCCAAACAAGCCAGTGCCTGACGTTTTTGATTCAAAATTCAAACATTTGTTCAAATGTTCGTGCCACATTTTGATTTCGTCTTTGATGATAATTTCAGGAATATCACCATATTGAAGGAGATATATTCCTCTTATCCCCCTTCCCGTAGGTACTCCACTGATCGGAGGATGAACAACTGTCATCTCTCTTACCGATGAATACAAGTAAACATGTAACTTGAACAGGCGCGATTTGGTAAAAAGTCAGATAACCAATTTCTTCCTCTATTGTTTTCCAAAATATGGTTAGAATTTCTGGAAATTCCAATGTACTGTTCAAATGTGAAAACAATGTGAATGAATGAAACTCACTCTAATAATGTGAAATGAGGAGGTTGTAGTTGATGTCAAAACATATATTTTTATCAGACTACGTAAGTTGGACTATTATTTGATTACAAGAAAAAATTTCAACTTATAGAAGGACGTACAAAACGGTGTCAAACTCATAGAGTTAAAATAAATTCAATGAAAGTTGATGAAATCAACAGAATGATGAAAAATCAATGTGCATTAATCCATCTTCAGAGCTGGCTACATAAATTTTAACGTGACTCGGTGCAGTCAATTTGTTTTCTCCAAATGACATAAACAGTGGCTTTGTAATGACACTCAACAGGCAGAAAACGTGTAGATATACTGCGCAGAAAAAGTTTGTTGCTATGCAATGTTCCAAGTTATAATTTGAATCAAATTGGCAATTAAAATTGACAATAACTTTGGGTGGACACAACATGATGGATTATTTGGACTTTGCGTGAAATTAAAACTTGACTTTGGAGAAGAATTATATGTTTCACATGGCAGGAAAGAAGATTCAGTGCCTTGGCTATGAAACGACGCCAGCCGATGCATTATATCGTTTGCTTTTCTCACTAGAATAAACAAATTATACTATTTTCTGTTAGGTTCCATTATTTATAATGTGGAAAAGGAAAACGCGAGTCTGTCTGGGCGGTCAGGAAAATTAGAACGATATTTAGCGGTATTAGGAAAAGGATTTGCTTACTGGATTCGTCGATTTAGTCCGACTGGTATTGAGCGAATGATTCATGAATAATAATAATAGTAGTGGTATATGTGCTTTGTTGGTATGCATGTACATATCAACTGGCCATCGACCTCATTACGAGAGGCTCCAATAATAATAATAATAATAATAATAATAAAAATAATAATGATAATAAAAATAATAAGAAGAAGGCAGGAGGGCAAATCTATCAGAGGTTCACCCATGGTGAGTAGCGACACCACCTTTCCGAGCTGAGGGTGCAAAATCGGACTGGCAGCGAGAGCGCACCCTGAAGGAGAAATTCATTTCTCCTTGTATGTCAGCCGTGGGCCTGCTAGGTTAACCACCTGGCAGGTCCGAATACTCTGGTTCCAATCAACCGAGGACAGGGCCCCCACAACCGACCGCAGCCGGATAGGGGTCAAAGGCAAGGTGGTGGGGCCCAACAGGACGGACAGCCTGATAACAATCGCGATGAATCGCAGTGCTTCGAGAGCAGCGATCCAGGCCGTAGGGGATACATGAGGCGGATGCATGCTCTGTGGATTGAGCAACACCCAGAGCATGGAGCATTCACCTCCCAAAATCTACGGGATTATGTATCTCACCTATGCGCTAGACAATACGTAAGAGGTGTGGAGGAACAACACGCTCCACCCATCCTGCTCGACAACGAGAGAGGGGATCGTGTGCTTCCTGAGGTGAGCGAAATCAGGAACCGCAGGAGCCTACTCAACATAAAGGCCCTGTGGACCCAAGACCTTGCAAGGATGGATGAATCGCTTCGGGAAACACTTCCAGAAGGGGCTGAAATCTGGCACATCAATTGTGCGGTGTATGACGTGGTTCGGTCCTCTCGGTCAGACAGACCTATACAAACGGGGTCACCGATTGAGAGGGCCGATCGGCGTGTACAAAAGATGGAAGCCAAGATCCAGTCGGCGAGACAACACACTTCCCGTATCCAGTGTGTGATGGATTATGTGAGTGCCAACAGGCCATTCACATTGAAGGTGCGACGGATGGCCAATACATTACGTCGCACCCATCACACACTAAATGAGGCAGTGCTATTCACCATCAAACAGCATTGCCTCGAAAGGATACGAATATTAGTGGCTGCAAAACAGTCACTGAAGAGGCGAGCGAGAGGGCTGGCGGAAAATAAACAATTCCGCGGAAAAACCCTCTTGCTTATTTCAACCGCCTCCAAGTGTGGTTGACAATCCACCGACTGCTGATCAGGTGGAAACCATTTGGAAGAGTATTTACGAGGTGAGGCATCCATTCAACAGAGATACTCCAACCCTGGCGCAGTTCGGTTTCTTTTGCGATAGATACCAAGAGCCTGAGCCCGAATTACTGCGCCAACCGATAACCACTGAGGAGGTTCGAGAAGCCCTCAAAGGCTCCAAGAACTTTGCTGCTCCTAGTCCCGACGGGATCAATAACTTCTGGTGGAAAAAGTTTCCCTGTACCCACCACCATTTGGCCAGGATATTTAATAGCTGGCTAAATGGGGAGCAGCATCCATATTTTGGACACACAAACACTTTATAATCCCTCATCAACGGCAACCTCTATTTCTACTATCCATACAAATCTATTTCTCACATCCCCTTCAAATTCTGCTCTTGATAAGCGTCTCAATCAAATGTGAACAATCGGAAGTATACTTGACCGGAAATTGAAATAACCCAAGGGGATCGACAATGAACTATAGTACTAATGAGAGAACTTGAATTCTATGACTTGCCCTACGAAACCTTTACAATTTTCACCGCTCGCTCCCATATACGTCGCTATGGAACCTATTTCAGAAAAAAATCGACTGTACCGAAAAACGTTGAAATTCGATTGATCGGAATGATCAAATTAAGCAAATTTGAATAGTTGAAACAGTTAGATGTTCTTTTTTGTAGGAAATCTGTGCGGCTCTGAAGGCGAATTGTAATATCATACCGATCATCGACAATTTCGTATTTCCTGAGGCTGAAATCCTTCCTGAGGATATGAGGCAAGTCTGTCATTTCAATGCAGTGCGATGGATTCACGACTATCAAGACGCATGCGTGGACAAACTCGAAAGGTTAGTATAACTACCCATATTCATTTGAAGAAATAATATATAGCTGAACGCTTATTTTCATGAGGCTTCATGTTGTTCAATTGTATTTGTAAATAATGATCATCCATCTGTTCTCGTCCTACTCATAACTATCTACCGTTAAATTTACATGAATTGGAAGAATAAATCAAGTTATTCATTCTCTTCAGTAAGACTGTTTCTCAACTTTTACATACTACTGATTCTTGATCAGCTAATTATGAATAAGTACTGTTTTGACTTCAATCTAATTTTTTGAAGGTAAATTTAAACAAATATGCAAGTCCGTATTTGAGGAACAATGAAATAAGTATAGTATTTTTTCTGTGACGGGAAAAAAGTTTGGCATTTCATCTCTGTTGGCAGGTTATAAAATGCCACTCTTCATAAAATACTTTTTTCCTGGACATATATCACATATATATACACTATTGATGGCTTTTGTTGTGCTATAGTTCCGAAAAATGAGTCAACAATACCGTCTCCGAGAACTGCAAGTCCTTTTCCATTCGACTTCGCGGTTACGTACCTATATTACTAAACAACTACTAAATTCGCAATTTTTTGAAATCAAATCAAATAATTAGACTGACAGGAGTGACATCAGATATTTGATTACTTCAAAAGAATGATAAAGATGCCAACAACGCAGGTGTCCCTACTGTTGAAAACTTGAAATTTCACGTCGATAATTTCCAGATTTCAAAATAATGTAATATCTTCTCAATATTGATTCGTCCTTTCTTCTGTCATAGAAAAAAATAGTGTATTATACAAAGGGAAAAATATTAGATTTCAGCTCACAACACAACACAACCTGGAGCTAAAATCTACTACTTTTTTCCCTTGTATGATAAATAACTATTTCTCCATATGGAATACTCATTATATCATTCATTCAAGCTTTATCTTCCATTTCTACAATACCTTCATGGGACTACATATCAAACAACTCCAATCAAATACATAACAAAAATTCAAAGACAAAAACACTAATTCAAAGGCTTTGATAAGCAGTGGTTTAAATATTGAAATAATTACTACATTATTTATTGCTTTTTGTGTACATGTGTGATTATCTGAACTAACCAAGTCCTTATATAATGCGAATGAATCATTAACTCTACAGCTTATGGAATACCTATTTACCTGCTAATTTGATCTAATTTTTATGAAATATTTTGTAGGTTTATCGCTTAAGGTGATCCTTTGATAAAACAATCTGACACTGCAATAGGAGCTTATGGCAAACTATTCATTGCATGCCTTGTTATATTTTCTGATTTGGAAATAAATTAAATGGTGCTGGTTTTACTTTTTATTTTTATTGTGTATCCAACCCACAATTAATTAAAAGAAATCAGTCATTATCGAATGAGAGTATACCTATATGAACTGATGACCAAACTTCTTGAAACATCATTTGAAGGATAAAAACTAGTCGATATTATTCGATTTTGTATCATTTCATAAAATGATTCCATAGTTTTTTGGTTATTCTTGTCTCATTTGATTATGCTGAATATTGATTAGGAGTGAAAGCATTCCATATCCATATTTCTGAAAATATCAGAAAATTTTGAGTTTGATATTCAGAAGTACTGATATGCACATCCTGATTACACTTTTTCGTTCTCAGAGACATCAGAAGAACCCTTAAGAGACGATACTAGAAATGCGTTCTCCCAAGGTGGAACTACTTTGCTCTCTGCTTTGTGATAAAAATATGGTTGCTCGCTCAACATTGATAACACTTAAATACTGCAATAAAACCATGTGAGTACGTCACATAATAAACATAAGTACGTCATAACTTCATGATCACCGATGAAGATGAAAAGTATTACCAATCTCACAGCACGAATTATCATAACATTAACAATGTTCTCGCTTTTGCATGCCTCACTGATTGTGGTTAAGGTAAGTTGGAATTCGTTATTCGTTTGCTTTATTCATTTGTGTTCATTTTCAGACATTCCTGCATATTCATTTTTGTTCGATATCGATCTGTATAGATAAGATAATGCACATTTTCCTTGGTTATCTTTAGCAGGTAATGATCGACTTATGAAATATGTCCTTTTTTGGTCATGTTATGTGTCATCTGGATATGGGAGTTTGGTAAAACCCCTTTGAGTGAATTATGTCAACCAAATTTCAGCTGAATCAGTAAAACCATCCAAAAACATTCGGTTTCGATTTCTTTTTCCCAAACGATGTAATTATCTCAAACGCATGACAAAGCCATACATATGGACTCGCATAGATCCACTCCAAGAACAAATATCTCATTTGTTCATGAGAAGAAAATATTCAGTAGAACAATTGTTCGGTTCATTTGAATCGAAATTCATTTTCATGTCCGACCCTATACCCACATGAAATACTGAAATGAAAGCAGTAAATATATACTTACCCTTTTGGATCCTGGAGGTACGAAAGCGCTGAACGGACATGATATTTTTTTTTATAATTGCCAGTTTGAACTGGCAATTAGCCATAATTGCCAGATTGAACTGGCATTTAGCCATAATTGCCAGTTTGAACTGGTAATTAGCCATAATTGCTAGTATGAACTGGCAATTAGCTATAATGTCCGCTTTCGTATGGAGGTGATTCTTAGAACGATTACTTTATATGGAATCATCATACTAGAAGAGTACACGCAAGAGGACTTTTCTCATTTCCTATTAGGAGATATTGAGAGAAAAAGGAAAATGAAACGAAATAATATCAGGTTGTGATCAGGTTAGATGGAATCTAATTTTCTATCTAAGTAGGGGCATTTTTCATTAATCATCATTTATTAATTCCCATTAGACAATTATTATAACTGCTTTGTATTGGTAAAGTCAAAAGTTTGAATCTGAACTGATAGAACCCGAAAAGTTACGCTCCATAATATTTCATTATACAGTGTCGACGATATCGCAATTCGCAACACCCACCCTCTTTATTTGGAATTCGTTGATCAATTTTGAAAAACAACAATTCGCATATATACAGGGTGTCCCAAAATTACATACAACAATTTCAACCACAGATTCTAGGAACAAAAATAGTGAACAAAGTTCATGTAAACATGAGCCCAGAAGTGCTCCCCCTGGAGAGTCATCTGAAAGATATGATGTTTTTTTGAAAATATTACTGAAACCCTCTGTGATGAGATAACGAAATTTCGTACATGTAAATAACTTTTGATGCCTGATTTGGAAATGTTACGAGTTTTAAGTTGATACATTCTGGAATTCATCACTTTAATTAGGCAGTTTGAATGTTCATGCCAGTCCAGTGATTCATGTAGTGTTATTCCTAAGAATTTCATGGTATCTACTCGTTCAAGATTAGAGTTGTTTAAATGTAAGGTCAGTGGGTCAACTGTCCTTTGCTTGGTATGGAATATCAGTATTTGAGTGATGATTCCATTTAAAACAAAAACAAAATAGTCAACTCACCCATTCTTTCAGCTTGTTCCTTCGAAATCTAAAAATCTTGACCATGCACAGTCTTCAAAAACTCTATTTATTTGTTTCCAGGTTCATGCGTGGCGAGATGAACTCGCGCTGCGGCGGCGTCGGCGACGCCTCCCTTATATCCCGCGCGGGCGGCCTCAAGGGCGACCTGACTGCCCCCGGCACGCCATCTGGCGCGAGCCTGGCGCGGCAGCCGCCCAGCTACCAGCGCATGCACAGCAGCGACTCGGCCAAGAGCCAGGACAAGGACGTGAACGGGAACTCGGGCCTGACGCGGGATTGACTAGAGGGCCGCGGCGGAGGCACGACGGGTGCGCCTACTCCGCTGCCTAGGTGAGCGATGAGCGATAAGTCACAATAGTAATATTCTTTTTACCAACTTTGACTGAGATTAACCAAGATTCTCAGTGAAGCTCAATAGCTCAGTTGTATTACATGTTTCATTTATCTTATATAGTCTGATGTGAGATGTCTTGAGAACTTATTGAGACTATTTCTTCCCCCTCACCCCAACTGAGCGTGCTATTCATCTGTAGTTGTAGTGAGAAAAAAGTGAGACTGGATTAATTCTATATAGTAATTCTGTGGTTCTGTGCTGAGAATTGTGAGGTTATATTTTCATTTTGACATGCTTTCAGCTTTGGAGTTTCAGTACACAGGTTAAATCCTTTGATTACTCACTACAATAATATTTCTATGCTCCTCATTAATTTCCTCAGCCATTTTTCATTTTTCTTGAATTATGTTGGGTTATGTTTTCTTTCCTTGCCCTTCCTGACAGATGAAAAGGTGTTCTTTTTATCCAATCTACAACTCAGATCCGTCTCATTTCCTTCTAACTCAATTGATCTCAGTAGTGAGCATGTAACAATAAGGTAAAAGAATATTGCTATTACATGTTTCATTCATCTTAGTTTGATGTGAGTTGTCTTAAGAACTTATTGAGACTATTTCTTCTCTTTCACCCCAACTGAGCTTGCTATTCATCTGGTGTTGTAGTGAGGAAAAGGTGAGACTGGATTAATTCTAGTAATTCTGTGGTTCTGTGCTGAAAATTGTGAGGTTATATTTTCATTTTGACATGCTTTCAGCTTTGAAGTTTCAGCCCACAGGTTGAATCCTTCGAAAAAAATAATCAATTTGTTTTCAAAATTTCTTGATAAAGGTGATAAAATCCAATAAAGACATATTATTACAACTCTAAGGCTGAATCATGCAGTCCAACAGGCCAGATAATAATTATGATGGGATCACAGACGGAAATAATGCTAATATCATTGACGGGAATTCGATTCTATTATGTTGGGTTGTTTTCTTTCCTTGCCCTTCCTGACAGGAAAAAAAACGTGTTATTTTTATTCAATCGACAACTCAGATCCGTCTCACTTCTAACTCAATTGATCTCAGTTGAGAGAATGTAACAAAATTGCTAATAATTCACATATCAATGGCCTAATTCAAACAGGTCGTATCCCACTATTTTCACGAAATTGAGGTTTCCACTTTTTGTAACAATCTACGACATCATTCACTTCTAATTCGCAAAGCTCATATACCTGAAAATGCAGGGTCTGCTGACCGAAACCACAATTGTGCGGCTAGCTTCTGTTTGTTGACTCCCTCGATTGGATTTTTTTCCAAGTGTTGCCTATCTTTTGTACACTTTTCTCATCGTACTGATGAGGGCCGAAAGCCCGAAACACGTGTCTGCGGTTAACTCTTTATGAGGGCTATGTCCAATAATTTTCTCCTTAGAGAATATTTTTCATTTTTCTTTTATGTGAAAAGCTTTGTTCAACAACCCAAAATGTTTCTAGCTGATTATGAAGATCTGCAGTTAAACCACAATAGGTTTTTTCAGGCATATTTGCGCCTATAGGTCCAGAAATTATCCATCCCAATGTGGATTTCTGTAGAATTGGTTGATTTTTTCCCAATTTCACCAGCACCTAATGAGAGATCAATCTTGCTAGATTTGAAGAATTCTGGATCAGCTATATAGTGTAATATTAGCAGGAATCTTAAATAAATTCGATTTGAAGGATAATTGCCAGTGATTTCACTTATTATCAAAAATGAGTTAGTAAATGAGTAATCATTATGAATTTATTTTACTATGGGATCGATTTTTGCATGAATAATTAATGTGGTTGAACTTATCCCTTGAACAGGAATATCGATTGAAATTTATTCAAATCCAATTGTTTAAATAAACCTTCTGCTATAAAATTGGATTGTGACCCACTGTCGAGTAAAACTCGGCATTTCACCGGGTTATTATGAATATCATAGATATATAACACTGCAGTGGACAATAAAAGGAAAACATCCATAGATAAATTTGAATGGACTGACATTACTTGATATTGAATGCTCTCATTTAATTCAATTCTACTAGAAATACGAATGTTCTGATTGTTGAGATCATTTGGGTTTATTACTGGATTTGACTGCATCTGCGTTTTTTCGAACTCATTATTTTGAGCAGAATTACATGATGTACTTGGAATCTCACTTATTTGTGGAATAGATGATGAAACCGAGCGATGAGCTTGAGGCCCTGTCAAAGAATTTGAATAACTTACTGATGAGGGTCGAAAGCCCGAAACACGTGTCTGCGGTCAACTTTGTATGAGGGCTATGTCCAATAATTTTCTCCTTAAAGAATATTTTTCACTCTCGATTTGTTGTCAAAAAATCTGATAATAAGGCGAATACAGTGGAAATAGATACACTTCCACTCATGGCAAGAATACTCGATATACATTATATCAGTGCACCTGAATGAACATAATATGTCGTACCTGTTGTGCATTTCGCGAATAGAAAAATTGAAAGTCCCCAAATCCCAGTACCGCTCTAATGTGCTTTCACGGTTCCTCGACCTCGACCATAAGCAAATTTCGCATGCAGCATACCGCTTACCCCCTTTCTATATGAAGAACGCTCTAATAATACCAACTGCAGATTCCTCTTGCAGATTCTGTAAGGGGAACAGTCCGTCCAGGAACTGAACGGCAAGCCCTACGGCCGGCCGCTCTAGTACCCTCGCAGTAGCTTCAACATCCCTGTCTCCTCCCTTCCAACAGGTCCCTATTTGATTTGATTTGATTGAGAGATGGATTTTTCAGAATCCGATTGCGTTAGGCATGTTGATTATAAATATTATGATCGATTGGGTCAATAAAAAGTCTTCCGTTTTATTATGTAATTTCTGAATGGCCATTCTCCCCACTCCACCTTGAATCTACACCTCTTGCTATGAAATCAGTGACGGAGGATAGATAAATGTAAATGCATGCATTTTGTATTATTTGGATTCGGATTCTGTTAATGCTCTGAGGTATGACCGTAGTCTCCATAACATTTATAGGTCTCTGTTGTCCTATTGTATAATTTGTTTTACTGAACCCACGACTCCATTATGATTATGCCTCTCACAAGTTTGTACTAGAGTTCTTCACATGGTGCGAGTTGTAGTTTGTACAAGATCTCCACATGTTACGAGTTGTATAGCTTTGTTCCGCTAGTTGGTTTCCAAAAGATTACCTGCTTTCAAGATCTAGAGCCTCGTAATATCGTACCGTAGTACTTCCAGGATAAAACAGAATAAGAACTGAATGCAGCTCAGGTTACTGTTATACGTTAAGGCGAGCGTAAAGGCCCTGATGTTAGTACCTTCAGTTGCTCCATGCTGAGAGTTAGTAGGTTCTCAGTTCTTTTGTGGCAAGGTCGCTTGATATAGAAGAGCTCTAGTATTTTGTTACGCCCAGCGTGTGCCCTGGATATGTATCATTTCCTAATCCTCTTCTAGCAAGTTTGATACAAGAGCGCAATAGTCTGTTGAAAGTTTAATAATTTTAGCATTGTTACCAACCATCTTCAATATCCCTACATACTCCTACACACCCCAATACCACTCTAATGTGCGTTTGTGGTTTTTTATATTCTCACCTCGACCATAAGCAAATTCCGCATGCAGTAAATAACGCTTACACCTTTCTATTAATAACGCAGTATACTAATATAAACCGCAGTTCCCTCTTGCAGATTCTGTAAGGCGAACAGTCCTTCCAGGAACTGGATCATCAACGGCAAGCCCTGTGGTCGGCCCCCCCAATACCCCCGCAGGGGCTCCAACACCCCCGTCTCGTCTCTGGCGCTGGCCAGTCACCCCCCCGCCCCCAACAGGTCACGAAGTCTGGACGGCCTGCTGGACTCGGAATGCGCAGCTACGGAAGCAGCTAAGGCTAAGGAACAGGTTCCGTCCCAAGCGACTAAGAGTTGCGATGACCTTGATAAGAATCTACGAGGAGAGACTGAATCGATGAGTAAGACGGACAGTGCGAGTGATCGCATAGAGTTTAATGACAGTGATGCTGACAAGTGTTCCATTTATAGCGGTTCGAGTGAATCGAAACGCAAGAAGAATTTCATGGATAGGTGTGTTAATAAGGTGCGGTCTCTGATCAAAAAATGAACTGCTTATTCGATATTTTGTTCGTTTAGTCCATATCCCTTATAAAATGGAAGAATTGTTAGTGAGCTATACATTGAAAATATATTTAATCTTACCTCTCTCTAAAACCGAGAACTTATATAAAAAGAGCTATCAAGTATTATCAAAAGTTTTCATCAATCATGACACACTTTTTGTAGCTCGCTAGTAATTCTTTCAAAGTTGCAACTCTTCTTTGGTTTGCTAAAGGGTATACCTACCCACACCACAGGCAACTACCTTTGACGTTATAGGTACCTACCTACCTACTGATTTACACAAAAGTGATATTGTTATTTATTTTATGGCAACAAAATTACTTAGTACAAAATCCTTTGTGCTTTTATTATACAAAATTTGTATATATTGTGAAAAGATTGTGATTACGGTGCAGCACTATTTAAGGCCTTATTATAGTATAAGTAAGTGTTGTAATATTAGCTCTCTTGAGCATCTATGTTATTTGACATAATTTATTTATTTTAATGTGTTTTAACATATTTATACAATGCAGTCATGAATCGTGTTTTTCTCTTCAAATCGTAAATGTTAACAAATGGAAGCAGCTTACGACCGTATTGTAAACCTACAATAGTGTCAATTCTCTATATTTTTTGGAGATGGATACTGTTTGGTGAACAGTAATTTTAGTCAACCAAAGCTTGCTTATTTTTGCTCTTAGCAAGGCCAGTAGGTTTTGTGAAGATTTTAGTATGGTGCATCATTATTATGATATTAAGTTAGTTGAATTATATTCTGATTATTTCGAACGGTGCACATTTGTTTTAACATTTCCTTCATCTAGTAATTATTTTATAGCAAAATAATTGTTTTTTATCCATGTTATATTTAAAAATATATTTTATTATTAGGATTATAGGAGTTGTTTTATTACTATCTAAAGCTGCCTGAATATACACCAGCAGAATAGTATTTATCAATCAATCATACAATCAAATATTCAGAATGTGGAAAAGTGTCGGAAAAATATTAACATTTCCTTCGGTAATACAGGGTGGTGCAGCACATACGACACGGAGTTTCTATGGAAACCCATGGATAATATCACGATTTTTTTTGCGGTTGGCTGATTGAAGAATCGTTGAAAATAGTTCGGTGGATACATCCTCGAAAGTATGGACACAATGCCAAAACAGACTATTATATATAGACAAGTAATAGCAAATATGGTCAAGATCATGAAAACCATCAACTGTTCCTCTTTAAATTCAAATGGAGACATCAATTTCAGAATGGAATTGAACACATCCGAACAGGTGAACAAATTCAAAATGAGAATAAACACAATGAAGTTGGGAATACTTAATCATTTTCAAATTCAGAATTAACAGTTTCGAATCATAACATATTCAAGTTGATTAATACAGTCAAATTGAGAATAAACTTATTCAATTTGAGACTAAACAGCGAAAGACTGAATCAATTGATAGCAATAATTCATCATTGTACATAATATTTGACTAATTGAATTGATATGCCCCACACAAAAGAACATGCAGACAATATATAAGATTTTTTATTTCAACATGTGATATAACACTTTTCAAAACTGACGGAAATGTTCATTTCAACACAAATTACGTAATGAAAGTATTAAAGATATGGATGGACAAAGAGAATGGTATATTTTATTAGGTTGACCCCAGCTAATCAATAGAAAACTCACCAACTCCCATTTCAAAAATTTACAACTCATCAGGGCGGAACCATTTCATCAACACCCAACTCATCAACGACCCAATTCATTAACGCACACAGAACATCAAGAGCCAACTCACCTACGACCCATCTGATCAAAACGACTCAACTAACTCATCGATACAACATGCAAATTCATCAATACCCAAACTCATCATCGATCGAACTCATCAACGCACCCTTCTCATCAATACCAATATCAATTGCATCAACACCCAATTCGTCAATGACCCAACTGATCAACGGCCCAACTCATCAACGACCCCACTCACCAACGTACCTCTTCCATCAATAATCAACTCCAACACCCAACTCAAGAACGGCCCGATTCATCAACGTTCCAACTCACCAACGACCCAACCTAAACATCTCATCAACGACACAACTATCACCAGCGACCCAACTAACCAATGACCCAACTCACCAATAACGATCGACACAGCTTATCAAAGACCCAACTCACCAACGTCCCCAGTAAACACAAACAGCCCTGGGATAATGTCACATTCATGTCGCTTAATTTAGGTAACAATGCGAATTACAAGAATATATCATTGGTACTGCCAGGGGACCTTTTGTTTTACAAAAGATTCTCAATATTCCTCATTTTTCATTGGATTTGAGACTCAAAAATGTGAGTGGATTTGTGAGGCTTCCTAACAACCAAGAGAATCACTGGAACCTCACATTTTGACTTTTCATGTAACAAACGGAATCATTCAATTTTGATGTTGAAGTCGCTTAATACGTACTGTGAGTTTTCATTTGGCATCATAATTCCACCGGGACTCTCATTTCGAGTCACAGATGTGATATGTGGCATGAATGATGTGATGCCATTTTATATCTCTGGGATCAATCTGTGTTAACTGGGACCTAACTCATCAATGACCCAACTCCTCGATACGACCCAACTCATCAACGACCCAACTCACCAACGAGCCAACTCGTTAACGAGCCAACTGACCAACAACCACGAGGGACACAAAAAACACGTTATTGTGGGCTCCATTTGGGCACCCGGTCCCATATATTTGTAACGAGCGCCCAGTACAACGCATTCTGGTAACTTCGCGTTATTCGTGCTCTATTTCGAAACGATACATCCGATATCCCGATCAAATGTCATTCTGCCATACGCTTGAGATCGTCTGCGAAATTTTGAACAAGCAAAACGACATGATTAATGCGAATATGAGGAAAGAAATAGTTATTTTCCTAACAAGTGCGGAGAGTGTTAGGTATTACTTTTCCGCACGCAAATACAGTTAGACGAACGACGCGGAGCGGAGTTCGAATAAGTTTTTGCGTGCGTAAAAGACACTTTGCGCACGTGTTAGGAACAACGTTTTTCCTACCAGCTTCATATCAGTTAAAAAGGAAAATGAAAAAAAATTATAACTCATTGAAAGATGTAACCATACAACAATCACACATAACAAGAAAATATAATAATAGAAAATCACAGTTTCCCTACGAGCTTCATATCAGATAACAACGAAAATAAAAAAATTTCAACTTAAATTACAATTTATTAAATAATTTTTAGTTAAACTTGATAGAAATAGCTAAACAACAAACAATTACATATCAATAAAATATAATGATAGAAAATTAAATCATTTGTTCCTAATATTGAGGTGAAATACAAATATCGGGAAGAACGGTTGAAAAGTAAAAAGGATAACGGCTTCTTATAATGCATACAATAGTCTATAGCAACTAAAATGAATATAAATGTTCCATACCAGTGAGATTTTTGGGTAGTTTTACTTATCCGCACTTAGTGCGGAAAAGTATTACTTTGCGCACGCATCAAATGAGTGCGGAAAAGTACTACTTTGCGCACGCTCGTAGGAAAATATCTTTTCTGCGCAATAAAACTTTCTCTAAACAATCAAACCTAACTCTGCCTAAATGAAAGTTCTTCCTAAGAATTATATTATTAAAAAATTACTAGAAAGAACAAAAGAAAGAGACTACTTTTTTCAAACAATCTAACCTGATACAGCCTGAATGAACCTTCTTTCTGTAAAGTATATTCTTCGGAAAATCACATGTGATAACAAAATAAATAAAAATGAAAAAGAAGTTGAACTCCAATCGAGCGTACGGTAGGCCGAGTCATCGAACAACAGAAAGTCCGAGCGATGTCGTACTACCGAGCGCTCGAATCGCTCGATACGTTCCGGATGGGTATCCTGGGTGCTCGATATAAACATGACTCCCGGTCTATACCACAGAACTCATATTACTTAGACCACAGAACTCATATTACTCACGAGTTCTGTGGTTTATACATGACGTAATAGATCGTGCCACGTACATCATCAGCGCTTTTCACTAATGTGTAGGTGCGGCGGTTTCTCTCTGAGGGCGGTTTGCTGTGAGACTGTTTGCAGTGTCTACCCTTCTAATAATTTGTAAATTACTATCTCGTACATCACTTCAGTGAAGAACCATTGATGTAAAAAACAAAAAAAATTATCACTCTTACCACAAAACTCATGAGTGTTCATAGACAGGAGGGAAGAATCATCGCGGTGGGGGAACAATACAGCGTGGGACCGCAGGTACTGATCACCCTCGAATATCTGATCCTGAGAGGAAAAACATCAATAAAATAGCGAAAAACTATCGGCCTTGACAGTGAATGCCTCCAGTCAGAGACCCGGACCGAAACCGTTAATGCTGTGTCTCACGGTCCAACAATTTGATCAAACTACAGATCTGTGATGTCATCAGTGACGTCACATCAAACATCAGTGGAACTTAAGAATTTTTGTCACGTTGGATCAAACAATGAGGTTATAGGATGTTTGTTTTCATGTTTTGAACATTGATTGATTGATGAAAATCTGAAACCTCTCCCATCCGTTCTTAGGTAGTTTTGGAATTTACTATGGGATATCTTCTAGTCTGACTCCATAAAAAAATCATAGGTAGGACTCCTCTACCAATATTTCTTGTTTGAAGTCATCATCTCAATGTACTATTGTATACAAATACAACACGAAATACTTACCATAACATGACTTTTATTATTTAATTTTTCCTTGTGATTTTTCCCATTTTGAGAGAACCTACCTAACCAATATTTTTGTTCAAAAATCTTCAAATCGTGTGACAATTTGACAAAGAATTCTTGACAATTCAAACCATTTGAGTCAAACAGGCAAGAATATGACGTCACATCAAACAAATTTGAACGAATTGTTGGACCGTGAGGCACGGCCTTGAATCGAAATCCGTAACGGAATACGTATGGTACCGAACCAGAACCCCTAAAAATCGAAACGTTTTTTTTTATTTTCAAGTGATGTCATACTGATGTTCTGTGAAACAATAAATATGTTTGTTTCATGATTTAAGTGGTGGCTGATTTTGTGGTTGCCTTGGTTTCGGTCACAAACTTTTTTAAATTGTTTAATTTTTAGGTTCAACACCGTATACAAGTTTTTTACTCTTGAGGAGAATTCTCTGTCACACACCTTGTATGCATATGACTGAAAAAATTTGATATCTGATATTTGGATTCTCGGCTTTAGGACTTGCAGAACATTTTATGAAGATTAGGTATAGGTAACTTTTTTCCTGAAATTGATAATAAAGAAGGTTTCCAATGTTTCCATATAAATTTACCTTTGATAAAGAAATTATTGAGAATAATAAAACCTGATTTTCATCGGAGGCGGATGTAATTAAGATATTTGAACGTATAGTATTCTCTCGATATTGTCAAAAATAAAAATGAGTACTACTCTTGAATACGAGTGAAAAAAATGTATACCTCGACACTCTGTTTCGCAGGTATAAACGGTGTTTTACAGATACATTTATAATCAGTTCCTTATAACAATTTCTTACGAAGTTTATGAATATAAACTCAATTTCACATCAGATACATTCATGATCGGTTCATAACTGGAGAAACTATAGAAACAGCGTGGCATTCATGACAGTGAATGTGTGCAGCAGATAAATTTATATAATCCAGTGCCTAATTGAAATTCCTCACGAAAAACCGTGGCATTCAATAGTTTGAAATGTGTTTCACTGGTAGATTCATAATGAGTTTTCATTGACAGTTATTTATGTACTCTATGAGTATAAAGTGTGTTTCACAGATACATTCATGATCAGTTCCTGATAGCAATTCCTCACAAACTATATAAGTATAATGTCAGCTTTGCAGATACAATCACAATCAGTTCCTGATTGCAATTTTTTATTGAATCACCGTGGAATTTGTTTGTTTGAAATGTTTTCTGCAGATACACAAAATCTCAGGGCAAAATTTGGTTTGGTGTGCTGGGTTGACTGATTTTTCAACTCATCGCAGGATGATTGACAATAAGTTCTATTTCTCAAATTCTCGCAACTACAAGAAACTATTTAATTTACTCGCGATGTTAAAGATTATCACGAGAATCGTGAATAGTTATATATTAATAAAAATATCATAATTATGAGAATGCAGGTAAAGTCACATGGTTGTACATAAAAGTAATTATTCAAAAACAAACTTACCTACAAAAAACAATGACCAGGCAACAAAGCACGATATATCATCACTTATTTATGCCGAAAAGGCTCACTATCAATGCAGTTACAAAAATATGAGCGATGTTATAATACTTGGAGAAAAATATCGAGCTACACTATCGACTCCCAGAGATAAAAGAAAATTAAATTCATTCCTTATCTATTGTTCAGACCGAGGGCGCAAAAACTCGTGAGAAGTTTTATTTGTATCGAGAACGAATCGCGGTTTATTAATTCGAGCCTATATGGATGTAAGATAGATGATGAAGGGAATGCAGGCACGCAGGAGTAGGTAGGCCACCAGTAAAACTTTTTTTTAATGGAGATATAATGTCTTTTTCCTAAAAACTGATAATTAAAAAGTGTTTCCTTCGTTGTCCACTTTTTCAGACACAATGAGGATTATACAATACGCTTATAACAAAGATATTATAATGCATTGTCCTATCGGACTAGTCAGTTCACAAAAAACAAAAACGAATAATAATGGAACAGCAGACAATGATCGACATGCTATAGTATAATAATTATATCTAAATGGAATATTATTACATAGGGAAATATTTTATATTGATGTACAGACACATTTTTTTTCAATTTGAGGAATTCCTCATCAACACAATAAAATGCATTTGAAGTTAAAAATGAGTGGACCTTCTGCCTGAAGTTTCTAACATTCAACATATCCATTATGTTACTGATCTTATTGAAGCACTCAATTCCAATGTGCCTTGGTGACTGCTGACCTATACAGAGTGGGCCATTGAAAACGAAACAGCGGCTCTGTAGGTCAGCAAAACCGGATTATGAAAAAAATCTGAAACACGTCAACTACATTTTCTAGGGGGACATCGTTCTAAAATATTTTCAGCCCCGCGGCGTTGCCGCTTCTAACGAAAAGAATCAACAACTATTGTTATTTCAAATGGAACACCTTGTATTTTATTGCATTTTTAGATTCTCCCCAAAGAGCTGATTTTATTATCAATGCATCACACTTCGGGTCTAGCTGGAATGATTTCAGGGATATTTCATTGCATTTTTAGATTCTCCCCAATAAAGAGCTGATGATTTTATCAATGCATCACACTTCGGGTCTAGCTGGAATGATTTCAGGGATATAGGGTGTTAAAAATCGAGATTCTTCAACTTTAGGATTTTTTTGTGTCGAAACTATTCATTATTGGTCAAAACGGCTTTTATGTCCCTATCTCAACTTTTGATTTACTATCTACTGACATTTATTATTTGAAACAAATACAGGGTGGTTCAAGATTCAGACTTCTGATCACCCTGTATCTGTTACAATGAAATGCCAGTAGATAGTGAATCAAAAGTTGAGATAGGGACATGAAAGCCGTTTTGACCAATAATGAATAGTTTCGACTCAAAAAAATCCAAAAGTTGTGAAATCTCGATTTTAAACAACCCTATATTCCTGAAATCATTCCAGCTAGACCCCAAGTGTGATGCATTGATGAAATCAGCTCTTCGAGGAGAATCTTGAAATGCAATGAAATACAAGGTGTTCCATTTGAAATAACAAAGTTGTTGCTTCTTTTCGTTAGAAGCGGCAACGCCTCAGGGCTGAAAATATTTTAGAACGATGTCCCCCTCGAAAATGTAGTTGACATATATATATGTTTCAGATTTTTTTCATAATCCGGTTTTGCCGACCTACAGAGCCGCTGTTTCGTTTTCAATGGCCCACTCTGTATGTGTAGCCGTGAGATCGATTGATGGATATTTCCACAATCAATCTTCTATGCGCTAAACCCAATTTAAAAATTTGAAATTCGTAGTTTAACAAGTTTTGTATTATTTTTTTCCCTACGTCGGCTTGGTCGGCCTCTTGTGGACGATGGCTATGCTTCATATATAGAGTAATAGATATATGGAAATAGCTCCCAAGCACCCCTCGGACTATTGTTGTATTGTCACTTGTCACTGGTCACTGTCACTACTGTCAGTGTCAAAGTTTCATGTGTCATGTTATGATGTTGATATGGTCTGATAAATCAAAATAACAGAAATAATTCAGTTTGATTCTCTTGGTTTTTGGAAATTGGAAATAAATGATGATCAATAATATTGACCAGTGAATTTATCGAAGTCATGTAGACTTCTAGATCTAGATCTAGATTTACCAAGACTGCTATGATGCAATCTAATATCAATCCAAACGCCACAGATTTTCCTACAGAGCTGTGTGCTAAACCCCAAGCTCTTGTGGGAATTTCAGGCTTAGATATTCTGAACAATGCCATCCACAAATCAATATGGGACACTTTCAGTAGTAACCGACGTGTTGAGAGAGCACCAGTAGTTTTTAAACTCATAGGAAATGCTCATGAATTTCCAGTGGTCAAACCAAAAAGGAGTTCCTATGACTGGTACATTCCAAAAGGGATTCTAAAAAAAAACTGGCTACACAAACATCTATTTGAGATACCAGCTGTTACTGTAATATTCTATGATTTAGATTGGAGTGATCCACAATGGAATGAAAAGATGATAGAATGTGCTTCAAGAGTACAGTCAATGAGAGCTGCTCTTGAAGGTAGAGCTTGCAAATTAACTGTTGTTCTCATTCAAAATAGCCTTCCTCTTCCTGCTGGTGAGGATGCCTTGGCTGCTGAACGAGCAGTTGCCCTATGCTCTAGTTGTGAGCTTAATTCTCAATCACTTTTTGTTTTGCCCCATGGTGATCACCTTCAGGGTTATGCTGTTAGGCTAGAAACAGCTTTCTATGAGTTTGCTCAGACCTATTATCATAATGAAGCCAAACATGTGAAATCTCATAAAGATCATCTAAATAAGAATTCACATCAGTATTTATTTGTCAGGCACCAGTTCAAGCTAGGAATTTTATATGAGTTGAAGCAAGATATTCATTCCTCTCATAAGTGAGTATATTTTTGATTTATGCACAGGCATATTTGTAGTGTTGATTTTTCAATATTCTTATAGGCACTACACTCATGCATACAACAATCTACTGGAAATAAGGATAGTAGATACAAATGCTTTGGAGATTCGTACAATAGCTGGGTTCATAAATTACAAGTTGTGCAGGTTATTGTTTGCTCTAAACTTGCCAAGAGATGCCATTTCACAGTTCAAATCTCACATAGATAGATTCAAATCTAGATTGGGATTCCAAGAGTTGTCTTTTGAACATTATGCTTGGTTGTCTAAACAGTAAGTAGACAAAAATAAATGAAATTGTAATTATCACTAGTAATTTCCCCAGTGCTTGAATTTGGGCTTGTATTACTAATTATAACTGGACATGTTTCCAGCAGAAGGTAAGAGAATGAATTCCATACTGATATGAAGGGTGACAATTGAATAACAGTAACATGTAACACATAACAATAGCAATCCAATTATAGGAAATATTAGTTCAAATAACTGAAGAAACAATTTGTTTATAAATAGCCAAGCTAAAAAGAAAGAAAGAAAGAAAATATTGCACCTCCATAATCAGTATATTCTATGTTGAATATTCATCAACCCAGGGGTAAATCTCCTTGGAAGTCTGGTGTACACTCCGTTGGAAGTCTTTGGAATTCTTTGGAAGTCTTTGGATGTTTTTGGATGTCTTTGGAAGTCTTTGGAAGTCTTTGGATGTCTTTGGAAGTCTTTAGAAGTCTTTGGGAGTCTTTGGAAGTCTTTGGGAGTCTTTGGAAGTCTTTGGTAATTGGAAGTCTGGTGTACACATTTTTCCTGGAGATTTACCCCTTGTCATCAACATACTTTTATTATTTCATTTTTTACTTTTAATTTGGCTATTTATAAGAGCCTGTTTCTTTAGTTTTTCAAACTGATATTTATTCTCTATTTTTTAGTTTGGTTAACTACAAGAGCTTGTTTTTTGATGTTGATGAAATAATCATAATATCTGGCCAGAAAACAAAAAGAATCATAATCTCAGATCCTGAAAAATCCAAGATACCTATTTTGAATAGAATCCCATCATAATCTCCGACCTCCAAACCATCAGATACCAATTTTGAATAGAATCAGATCATAATTATAAAATCTGCCATATTGGATCAGCCATCATGAATTTCCATATTTTGATGAAAGAATCATAATCTCCTACCCCAATATTCCCCAGATACCAATTTCAAATGAAATGGGTTCATAATTAAAAAACTAGTCCGCCATATTGGATCCGCCATCTTGAATTTCAAAATTTTGACAAACGAACCATAATATCCAACCATGAAAACACCTAGATACCGATTTTGAATAGAATAATTACAAAACTCGTCCATCTAGTTACCAATTTTGAATAGAATCAGATCATAAATACAAAACTCGTCCGCCCTATAGGATCCGTCATCTTGAATTCCTGAATTTTGATGAAAGAAACAATCTCCGACCCCGAAAATTCCCAGATACCCATTTTGAATGGAATCGGATCATAATTACAAAACTCTTTCACCATTCTGTATGACTCATTGATAGATCGATAATTTATTTGTCTTTTAGATGCATTCATGAGAATAAAATAAGATAGGTAGGTAACATTAGAGTCCCTGTATGTATTTGACACTTTTGCTGTAATAAGAGTACGGACACTATGACAAGCAGTGACAGAAGGCATAACCCTGAAAAATTTGAAATGACATGAACAATTTGGCGGGCACTGACAGTTCATGAACGTACATGACATTAAATTATTTGAAAATTCAGGTTTTCAAAAATTTAAAAGTTCTATTTGTGTAGTGGGGAATTGCAAAAATGGAAGCGAGTCCTTTCATTTATTCCATTTCCCCCATTCTAACCAACAAGTACATATACCCTTTGTTAAGTATATCGAGAAATACTTTCAACAAATTGATTTACAAACTATGACCCCTTTTCGCCAGTGAGATGAGACGCCACTTCTTTATGAAAATAAAGACAGACAAAGATATATGGATGTACCCTTCACCGCGGCAGTAGAGGATAGAAGATCCGAAGTGCATGGATAAGCATATCCATGTCTTTGTTCGAAAGTCATTTTGAGAATTTGGGGTTATGCCTTCCGTCACTGCTTGTCATAGTGTCCGTACTCTTATTACAACAAAACTGACAAATATATACAGGGAATTATACATACAGGGACTCTAGGTAACATATTCATATAAGTTTTCAATATTATATTAACCAAATGGCTAAGACTAAAAATTAAAAACTGGAAAAAAAGTCTGTACATACAAACATACATGCATATATAATATGATATACAGGGTACCACAGGGTATCAGGTCACCACTGTTACTTCTGCATTCGTGAACGATTTTTTCTGAAATTTGTTACAGTTATCTAAGCAACCATTTCGGATTTGATCACATTAAAATCCAATATGACGGACTTCCGGTTCTTCTGGAAATGCCAGCAACTCTGTTCTTTCAAATGGAACACCCTGTATATTTTTACATATTCTAGTTCAACAGGTCGAAACAAGTGCAATCTCGATGTCAAATGTCATTTTTTCGAAAATGTTGAAATCATCATGGGTGAATGAGCCCCACATACTAAAGAAACATATTTTTTTCTGGAAATAGTTATTTGTTTAACTAGGCAAAGTAGTAGATTGACTGCCGTGGCTGGAGGAATCCAGCTAAGGCAGTCAATCTACTTTGCTGCCGAGTTGAACATATAATGTTTTCTCCGATTGTTCATAATGATATGGGAGAATATTATATTTGCGAATTAATACAATTCCCACAATCTCTTTATTCTTCCTGTATAGTATTCAATTAAAATGAAATTTGTTAGAAATCGCAGTTGTTGGTTTGACAATTCATGAAATTTCTGACTGTTGTGCGAAAAAATATCGGTATATTGAAATTATTATATAATGGACAGTGATAGCGACCTGAAAGTATACAAACACCTCCATTAATAAGGGAGGTGGCAACAAATATAGAGTTGAATTTGTTGCCGGAGAAGTCTCGGATGAAATATGAAGGAAATTATAAACGATTTATGGATTTTTAATTTTGCTGATACATATCAATCAGCAAAGTAACCACTTTGCTGCCTAGGAAAAGTAATACTTTGCTGATTGATATGTGTCAGCAAAATTAATATTTGCTGCCAATCGGAGGAAAACTATTTTTTGTGTCACTTCGATGAATAATTTCAGTCATATCACATTTTGACCAAAAATTCAATTTTTTCAAATGGAGCCCCCGAGGGAACCCCCAATGGGCTACCTACATGTCATTCATTATAGTCCAAGAGCCGGCTGCAAATTTAGACCGTCATCTGATAGCAAAATGATATATGTGCCAAAACCGAGGCCAAAACCATGTGAAACCATTGTAGTTTAGCGAACGGCACCCGTGCCAATCACAAAAATTGCACTTTCCTGTGCGGAAATTTGCACTTGATCTCGCGATTTGATAACGAGTTAAGAATTATGCCATCCGATACCAATTGAATGGTAGATTTCAGAAAACTACTTGTGCCATAGAGCAATTTTGGACTGAGGTAAGTTACTTCACATCAAATTTCCTAGAAATATCATCCCTTAGACATCCCACGTGGTACATATTGTAGAATGTCCATGCAAGAACGTCCTTGGCCCTGATGGGATTCAATTTTGAAGGTTCCTTTAGGGACATCCGTCGGATGTCCCAATTGGTACATGAACTATCATGACTTCGGCAGGAACTCCAATAGATAATTTATATGTTCATCTAAGTAATAAGTACAAATATATGCTTCAAGTAATATAATTTCATACCCATGTCATGATTACAACGTCTTATGGACGTCCCAAGGACGTCCTCAAAATGTCCTGGATACGATTTATTCAGAATGTGTCCTAAAAGGGACATCCACCGGTGGTATACATTGGCATCAGGACTTCAGATAGACATCCTATATAAATGTCCTTAACGCAAATGAATTATCATTTCTTCTTCCAATGTCCTAGAAATAACGTCCTACGGACGTGTCAGTCGGTGCGTTCAATATGTTGTCCCTGCGAGGACGTTTACTAACACCTCACCGATTTTTATTTTACTTCACCACCCTGTATTTCGGAAATTGAGCAATTTCGGACTGAGGTAAGTTACTTCACATCGGCTTATTTTGACCTCAGGAATATGTGCTGAGATCTTGTACAGACCTTTTAGGGACACACTGTATATTCCCAGTAGTATAAAATCGAGTATTGAAAACATTGGAGGACAAATATGAATGCATGTGTTTTTTGAAACTATTGAAACTCAATGCTTCGACGGAAGTGGGTAGTAATGCTGTAAAGATTTGCATTGAAAGAGTTTCTACTTGATTTTTGTAACCTGAATTCAGATGGTCTCATCAATTGACTGCCTCTTGTGTCGTAAGTATGGAAATCAGCATTCTTTCCGTGATTATTCTTGTTTTTTTTTTATCTCTAAAATATATTGATAGATATAAGGAATCGGTTAACCCTTACCCACAGATTATTCTTATGGCTTTTTTTTGTAAGAAGAAAATTTCTTTAGCATCAACGCTATTTACCCATAGTATTATACCATATGAAATTCTTGAATGGAAGAAAGCATAATGAAATGATAATATAGCTTGCAAACTAATGATAGTCTTCAGTTTACGGAGTAAAGATGAGTATTTTGAAATATTCATACACATGTGCTCTGTGTGAGCAGTCCAGTTTGGTCTGTCGTCCAGTGTAACACCTAACAGTTTGACAGTTTCACCAAATGCGTTTGAGTTGTTGTGTTTTATTTTTAATTAATAAGATCCTTACTACTGAACCAAGTTTCCGCTTTAGCTTGAGTTAAATTTATATTTGCCAACGAACCAATTGTATTTTCATTAGAGCTGGTGAGCGTTTTGTCTTCCGCAAATGGCGCAAATGCAATAAGCCATAATGGTACAAATATGAAAAAATGTCATTTACATAGATAATGAATATGAGAGGACCTAGTACAGAGCCTTGTGGTTGTGGAACCCGACATGCTCTTAATACAAAATCAGATACATTATTTGAGTCTATTATAACACATTGCTGTCTATTAGTTGAATATGATGAAAAAAGGGAGAGGGGTACTCCTTTGATACCATATTCCTCGAGTTTGCTGATGAGAATGGAATAGGACACACAATCAGAAGATTTAGTCAGATCACACAGAGCATCTAATACTCCAGCTAATATAAGCCAACATATCTACCAAGCTAATATAAAAGCCTGGTAAAAATCATAATATCAATCCTGATTATGTTCTACTGTTTCCTGTACATTTCAAAATAACATTAACACCTCTTTTCCAAACAAATTTGGTATCGTAGGTGTAGATATTGAAAACTATCAATATGAAATTTTTTTGACAAGAATATTATTTTGAACAGTACCATGATTTTATATTGGATCAAGAGTGATGTTCTATCATAATAGGGAAAGTTATATGTATCTATATTTTTTTTGGGTGGAACACCCAGTATTTATTCCATATATCATTATGATTAATCAAAATCGGCTACCTACAAATACAAATTTTTCAGATATTCTGTATTTGGTGATATTTTCGATGAAGCAGTCAAACTTGGTCTTCCAGCAGTCCAGACTCAACACCCAGGGCTATACTATCAACAGGGTGCCCATTATGCCACAATGAGGAAAAAATCATGTCAAGAATTATGTTCAGTTAGTCTATAAAACTTATTTGTTGTTCTACTTAGTTTACATAATTTTTGTAGAGTGTTACTACATACCCACAACCAGATCCTTTAGAAGGTGCTATTCATATGGAATTTTTTGGTCAAAGACCTTGGAGGCCAGGTAAAATATCAGCAGAGCCTCCTGATCCTCATTTGGAGTCTAACGGAATTCAGGCTATGCAATTTCTGGAAAGACAAGTGAATCATTCAGTAATACACCCAAAAGTTTTTCTAGTATTATTGCCACTTCATAATGTCTTCATTTCTAGAATCTGATTATAGCTTTATATGGTTTGGCTATCACCCAATATAAAACCTACAGATGTCCACGTACAAGACGACATTTAGTATTACAAATGGCCGACGAATACTATGATTCAAAGGATTATGGAAAAGCCTTAACGTAAAAATGAGTTCCTCCCAAGTTTCACCGAATTGAAAAAATTGTTGAATTTTAGGTTATACACTCACATGTTGTGGGACTTTCGTAGCGAAAAATGGTGGTCCATTCTTTCGCAAATTTTAGAAAAAGCCATCAGGTGTGCCTACCTCACTGCTAATATCCAGGATTATGTTCTGTTAGCTATAGAATTTCTCGGTACTGATGTGTGTGTTAGTTTGGATGAAAAGCGCAGAGTTTATGAGAATTTAATCAGAATCCTGAAGGTAAAACATTTTGTATTCTGATGATAGTAGAAGTAGTTCTAAAAAATGAATAACAAAACAATGCTTTCTTTCTTGAAGAAAAAAAATCGATAGTCTTATATATCAACATTATCTTCCGTGCACGAATGAAAATGTGCTCGAAAATTCTACAACTATTTTATTATAGATCTTATTCATTTTATTCTCTACTTGCTAATAGCACGCAACGTCCTAAGGACGTCCATATTTGGTACAATTCAAGCCGAATGTCCCGAACCTAAAATGAGTGTTCTTGGGATGTTCCATCCTGTACATCACATGCAATGTCTGAGCAAGTCCATGGAATGTCCCAGCTGGTACATAATTTCAGATGTCCCACGTGGTACATATTGTAGAATGTCCGTGCAAGGACGTTCTTTTCATGTCCCTGATGAGATTTAATTTTGAACGTTCTTTTAGGAACATCCATTGGATGTCAAAGTAGTACATATACATACAAGTGATTCATATCCTGGCATGACAAGGAAATCATTCTTTGATGGGACCTCTTGTAAACCTCCTTCAGGATATATTGGAATCCTTTTGAGGACCATCAGTTATAAAGAATTTGATCTTAGGGAGGACCAACAAATTCAAATTCAAGAATAATACTAATGTCCCTGGAACATCCTATGGACATCCAATAGATCATCGTTGCTGATAGGTTGTCCTACGGATGTCTCACGGATGTCCTCCATAGTGCTTGATGAGAAATACTGTAGGATTTTAGTATTCGATAGTTGTCCCAGGTACATCCCTTTGGGACGTCCCTAGTTGGTCCTCAAGTGGGACATTTGTGCGCCTCACAGACGTTCAATGGACGTCCGTGGTACCAAATTCAAACGCCCTGAATGTCCTAACAGGACATCCTAAAGTTTGTGCCATCAGATATACATGAAAAATGACGTTTATCATAACCCATGAGATTGTTCAGCTAAACTTGAAAATTTCCTGTAAATATTCGCTTAATTTCTGGAAGTCTGACTGACATTGAAATTAAATTAACTCATTAGGTGAAAGCGTGTGTGTAGAGTAATTTTTTATAGAAACAAATACCCTTTGGCAACACGAAACTTCCACAAGATATCCTACAAGGTGCCATAATTTTGTGGCAACCTGTGTTCACTGAAAAATCGCTCAGCTTTTCATTAGATATGGGCAACATAGTATCTTGTATTGCTACTAAAGGCAGGTTCATGAAAACGGCCTACGAAGTTGATCAGAATGTGACGATAGAAGTTTACATCAGGTACAAAAATTGACATTAATATTCTACAAATTCTAAACATTGCTGAATACTTTTTTTTAGAAGTACTTGTCCGTTTCCTTTGACGTTTTCCAAAGTTTCTGTCACAGTAAATACTCAGGGGTATAGTTCGGAATTTGCTGTTACGAATTTGGAAAATATATCCCTAAGTTTCCATAAAGATGAGGTCAAGAGATTCTTGGTAGTGTTCATGGCAGATTCCAATGATATTAATAAAGAAATTCAGGTGAGATGTATATTTATTCATGGTAGAAAACCGATATTTTTTTAGGATCTAATAATACTCATCAGTCAAAATACATGATTATTGACAAAGCCTGCAAACATTTCACTATAAATGATACTCAACATTATTGTTCTACCTACTGAAAACGTCTAATTCACTGGATTATTTCACTCATCTTGAAATAATTCTAACATAATCTGACCAATCGCAAGCCAAAAACAACTTGTATTATCGCGTAAACACTATCTGTCTTTCAATTGTGATTGGTCTATCAGCGTTGATGTTTTCAATGATATAACCATGGAAAGTGAAGAAGAGTCTGTCAGTTTGATATAAAATAATTGTAGATGTCAGAATGAATCACTTTGGTTTTATGGCTTGTTTATTTAAAATAAATGCTTCTCATTCTTTGTGAAATAGTCTAGCAAAATACCACTCTGTTCCGAATATTTTCTCATAATTATGTATCTGTCTACAGAAATGCCATTTCGTGAACAATAAAGGGACAGAATTATCTCGAATATTCAGAACATCCTGATATTACTGTTATATTTTTTGAATACCTTAGGCGTATCTTGCCAGTGCGCTACTATATAGATCACAGCATTTTCGCATGAATACAAAACAGAATTATACCTAAAATCATCAAGTTGATGATTGGTCTAACGAATTGTCTGCACGGGGACTATGGTCGTCACGTTTATTAAACCTTGTCAGTTATTCTAGACTGAAAAAATGAATATTACCCATACTTGCCAACAAAACTCATATTAATGAGTCATACAATCCTCTGTAGCAAGTATACTTCATTCCAGTTAAGAAATAGATGCGTGGTGAGTCTCTAGGCATCTTAGTGGTGAGGTAGGGATTGCTTGACCTCACTTTCCAGGCAAGTTTTGCAATATCGGTAGCTGGAGATTGAACTGGCTAGTTAGGCAAAGTGACTGACTATCATTATTTTATTTATGGTTCTATCGTGAGTGTCATTGATCCAGCGAAATTATTGCAATAATCGTTGAACATGGATTTGGTTCTCATTGATATCCTTGTAGCTTATAGGCTATTCAACTTTGCTTAGAATTAATATGGCGTCTGTTGGCACACAACCACGATGTCACACGACAAATAAACTCAATATGGCGCCTGTTGGTACACAACCACGATGTCACACAATGACACCCGTGGCAATCGAATTCTTTTCTTCCCTGATTTTCTGTGATTATCATAGTTGTACTTCTGATAGGAACAGTATTCAGGGGGAAATATCACTTTATTAACCATCGATCGTGTGCCAATAGACGCATAATTTGATAGGTCGTTGGATTGCCTAGTCACAAACACCAAAATGTGCCATAACCTCAATTCCGACTATTAACATTATTATTGTTTTATTCTTTATTCACTCAAAAGTTGATAATTTCATTCATTTTGAATTCTGATATCAAATTGTTTTGCCGATTGATTTCTCTCTGCTAGTATTACAGCGTGAGGGCTCATTGTACTACTCTTTCATAATTTATTTTGTGTTTATTGTACCCAATATATTACCATACATTGTGCCCTGCAGGCCTGCATCAGTTGGTGTAGTCGGTGCAGGTATATGTTTGACGTGTAAAATTTATAATCCAAAGGAAATTCGTAATCAACAATATGCGCTTTCTTTGAAACTAACGACAACATTTTAGAATTTCGCTGTTTTATTGAATTTTATTTAAAAAAAACAAGTTGAATGTGATCCATATATTGAAAATATTTTGAAGCTCGGTAAGCTTTGAAATCCAAAGATTAATTAGCAAATATAATTTTGGTGTTTGCCAAACCTGATCAATCCCGACAGGCTGTCAATAATTTCTTCGAGTCGAAAAGCATCTGAGCTTTCAGCAGGCCTTTTGCTATCTACGCCAACTACTGTATCCTTATCTGAAACTTACATCTCTCACATCTCTCAATCAAATATAAGGAACCGGATCATTCAATCAGAAAAACCAGTGACGGCTCGTGCCCTCAGAACCTGGGTCGGCCAGGGTATAGATATTGCTCTAAAATGCGAACGTAAGTGGGTCAGCGGCTTGAGTGAAGTTCGATGGCAAATGAGCATTATTCACCATAATTGTCCTTTCTCCCTCTAGCTCACTTATTTTTGACCCGATTTAAAAATTTGAAGCATGATCTAAAATGATTTCTCAGAACTTTTTTTCCCGTTGCATCAGGAAATACAGGGTGCACGGAACAAATGATCTACAGGGTACCATTTGATTTTTTTATAGTCACAACAATGACTAATCGCCAATCGGTCTACGCCGTTCCTGTAACAAGCCACCCCACTGACCCCACTCCTTCGTAGTCGGCTGGCCGAGCCCGCGTGCAGGGTGCAGCCGTAGGTATAATGTTTCCCGCGATGCGATGGATGCATAAATATTATTTAGGTAGTTTATAACCGCTACATGCGTCTTTGAAAATAAATGATATTCTGGAAGTTATACATTTATTACATTTTCGTCACCAGAGCTTTTTTACGATGTTTCAATGCCTACTCAGCTCTTGGACTGCTGACATTTTTCTTGCCATATTACCTACATAGGCAGAGGCACAGTAGGTTACATTACAGCAATATTCAAATTGAATTATAACTTATTGACGCTCAGAAGCACTGAAGGAAAATTCTGATACCAATATTAGATGGATATGTTGAATTATGAATTACTGAAAAATTGCAAATTCAAAAATCACCAGTCATTTTTACTGCAACTACTGCAAGCGTAAACAAAAACATGGAAATTATTTTTCTTTTCAGTTTGTACATTTCAAATTCCAACATCAACTTACAAATAAGTATATATAGGAATTAAAATTATAAATACCTACAATGTAAAATGAAAATAGAATGTCAATCATGCCAATCCATATATTAAAAATTAGGTCGGAATGGTTCGATACGGTGCACAGCGAGCGCACTGCAAACAACTGATACTGATAAGTACGATCGATACGTTGTACGGCCAGCAGAGCTTGGCCGCACCCAAGGTATGACGCGTATAAGCGAAAATTTAAACTTGAAGCGGGGAATCTGTAGGCGATGCCTGTGGCGATGCGTCGAGACAAGAAATCACCGATCGGCCGGCCGTCTGCATCAGTGTAATGATCTACGCGAGCGTTTCGACTGAAAGCGGTGTTTTGACGATGGGATTACCAGATGTCGTAGGTCCTGAATTAGTTCGTGATTTTCGGTGTATATGCGGATGGCATACTCAAAGGTTCCATGAATGAAATTCAAATAATAGTGGCATAACAGTAGGATAATGAGCGATGAATTAACAGTTTCGGAAAATAATTTTATTCATCAAATAGTTCAGTAATTTTCCCCAAATTATTTGGTACGGCCCGGCCGACCCTGCCGTCCCTGACGAGCCGTCACTGAGAAAAACTGAACATGGAAACTAAAAAAAGAACGTTACAACTTCGCTATTCATCATTTTCAGATTGGATCAATCAATTTACTATTAGGAAATCCTCAAGAATGTTGCCTAGATCTCAAGTACACCTCTTTGAACGAAACCAATGGAAATCACATAGAACTCACTCATTTCAAGTACAGTCTCGACAAATTGGATTTTGATAATATCCAATTGTTGCCTAAGGCCACTGTAGTTCCCAGAGAATCCAAATTGAGGGTGGAATTCGACCATGAAGATCCTGCCCTTTTGGGAGAGTGGTATAAGATAAAAGTAGGGGTTGTCAATGAGGAAATGTTTGGTATAACAGATTTGAAGATAGAGGTGGGGCTCGAAGAAGAAATTGCTGACGGTAAGATGAAACACTAGAGAAATTATCAATTTGATTTTTCAAGATGTTAATGATATAGCTATGCTAAATATTACTGGGTACAACGTAGATTTGTGAGTTCCTTTTTACCGCATTGCAATTTGCTTGTCGCCTACACACATAAATACAAATTCCTAGTGATATTGCGAGGGAAAGAGATCGAAGTATTTGCCGAAATCCTATATAAGTAGTCCAATAAACGGTGGTACCAACCATGACATTAGAGAGATCCCAGACTTTTTTTATTCAATCTACAAATGTCCACTGGGAAATGACTGGCGGGGTGGGAAAATGGCTCCATGGTCCCCAAAATCCGTTTTTACCGACTATTTTTCCCGATATTGGCCAAAATGTGATACTGAGGCAATTCGTTTTTGAACACAAAAGAAGAGCCATTCATCACCTACAAAAATGATCCCCATCAATTTTGTCAAAAGTTTATCTTTTTTCGAGATAAACGGGCGCAAGCGTAGCGTGGACTTCGAGCTGCTGCACAGCGTAACGGAAAGCACGCTCCGTGAATATGCCATGAGCGGGCGGACAAATTGTCCCATAATATCGGTAAAAATTATTCTTTTTTCATGATCCGAAGTTCATATGAAAGGAGGGACCTGTAGCTTTAATATCATATTACTTTTTCCTTTTTTAAATTTTCTGGAATATTGAAAAATCTGGCCAAAGTTCATTTTTGCTAGGTATTTGACCCTCTTTATCAATTCATTCTTATTTTTTTATTCAAGATTAGTTTCACCGAATACTTTTGGATAATGGGGCTTTGATAGGTGGTACATGTATTCCAAAAGAATCAATATATATTATAATTTTTGTGTATTTTTATAAACAACGTGTTTTTCTTGGGTCTTTTTTTTTTGATTTCCGGAGTTTTCGAAAATGCTAGGGACTATCGAGAATTGATGAATTATGAAGGGACATATCGGTGTACAATGCACATCACTCGAAAGCTGAAAATGTCCCCTTCTCGATGGATTTTTTGTTTTTTTGAGGTTGGTCACAATGTTGTTCCATTATTAAAATTGTAAAAGATAAGGTGACATATTGTGTAAAATTGCTCACGTGGACACATAAGAGACTAACATTTGTACAACTAAAATCTGTAAATTTGAATTTTAATATTGGAATAAAAAATTCCAAGTCACATTTTTCACATTCTTCAAATTCTTCGAATTCTTTTTTTTTTCTCATTCCTCATTTTGTGATTCACATCTGTTTGTTTGAAGATTATCGAAAGATAGTACAGATAAAACCCTACAACTTTCATATTTGAAGTTTTTCTCCACCTCGTTTAGAACGAACAAACTATTTTTTCAGTGGAAATATCATTAAGGCCAGAACCATCGCATACCAGAGAAGGCATCGTCCTGACAAATGTCGACACTCTGGAACATGGTGAAGAACTGGACTCTTTCTTTTTCATCAGATCCAGCCTAGTCTGCAAGTTCAACTTACAAGTCAAACTGGCATACACCTTGAACAGAGAAAAGCCAGTCTTCAGCAGCAAGACTGAAATAGTTGCTTTATCGGTAGTGGAACCTTTCGAGGTTTCCACTAAATATTTGTCGCTTTTGATGAACGAAATCGATAAATTTTATGTGGGGGAAGAATTTGGGGTCATGAAGTATCTGATGTTCACCTCACCTTGGTCTATCATCATAGAAGACACTTCATTTGAATATGTAAGTAGAGCACAATAATTATTTTTTTTTCTGTGACGGGAAAAAAGTTTGGCATCTCTGTTGGCAGGTTATAAAATGTCACTTTTCATGAATTACTTTTTTCCCGTGGGAAAAAAGTGAGTACTTTTTTCCCGGGTATATATCACATATATATACACTGTTGATGGCTTTTGTTGTGCTATAGTTCTGAAATATGAGTCAATAATACCGTCTCCTAGAAAGAACTGCAAGTCCTTTTATCTTCCATTCGACCTCGCGGTTACGTTTATTACTTAACAACTACTGAATTCGCAATTTTTTGAAATCAAATCACATAATTAGACTGACAGAAGTGACATCATATATTTGATTACTTCAAAAGAATGATAAAGATGCCTACAACGCGGGTGTCCCTACTGTTAAAAACTTGAAATTTCACGTCGATAATTTTCAAATTTCAAAATAATGCAATATCTTCTCAATATTGATTCGTCCTTCCTTCTGTCACAGAAAAAAATTGTGTATTATACACGGGAAATAAGTTGTAGATTTTAGCTCAAGGTTTTTTGTCTCCCTCCGCTACGCGTCGGGAGACAACACAACCTGGAGCCAAAATCTACAACTTATTTCCCTAGTATAATAAATAACTATTATGCACTACCGGGCGTAAAGTAGCTCTTTACCGCCAGGCGTATAGGTAACTTGTAATAAGCATTCCTGTATAATTCAGGACATTTATGTTTCAATTGTGTTGGTTCATTATCTAGTATTACAGTTCTCTTGATATTCCTGAGATGCGAAATGGTATGATTGATCCCTAAATAAGTTATTTGTGATGACATTAATTGACAAAATATAAAAGTCTACTCCTATCACAAAAATGTCACAGAGTAACGAAGCTTCAAAGCTGGGGAAACATGTATGTTCACATGTTGCAAAAGTTGAAAGTCGACAGTTTTTTAATTCTCAAGCCAATTTTTAATCCATCCATGTGTGATCAGTTCATTGAAGAAAACGTTCAAACTTGTCGGGAGTGTTTGATAAACAAAAACGTTGAAACAGATATGATGCAATTACGTCAGCTTCCAAAAGTTCCTTTCCAACATGTAGCTGTTGATTCATTTCAATATCAGAATATTATTTATTCTGAAATATCCTGTGATTCATCAAATTATCAAAATTAAGAGTGTAGATGTTATCGAAAAGTTGAAAGAGACTTTTGCTCAGTTTTGTATTTCAAGTATAGTATATTCAGATGGCGGACCTCAATTTGATAGTTACCAAATGAGAGTATTCGCAACAAGACATGAATTCAAGCATATATTGAGCAGCCCAAATTACCCTCCAAGTAGTGGTCAAGCAGAGAGAGCCGTTCAGTTGATGAAACAAATACTCACATTTATTTATTTAACTCATTCATTAAACAAATAACTTCCAGACAGAATATGATCCAATGTTCTGCGTGGCATATAGCCAGGAAAGTAGTTGTTTTTCTCTCGGTATCTACCATTTTCGTTCATTTTATGAGCTATTGTGGTAATGACTTTCAATTCCATATTTTTGTAGTTTTTTTTTTCGGTATATTTTAAAATTATTTAATCTTCAATATTGTCACGGTAATTTTCAAACGGCTAGAAATGTACCGCAAGTAAAAACTGACCTCACGATTTCGTGAGTAGGGGCAGACCATAGCCACATATGTTGAGATACAAATGGGAACTTCAGAAATACTGTTTATATATTATATATATATATATATATATATATATATATATATATATATATATATATGTATTGGTAATATTCTTAATTAGCTATAAAAAAATCATCTATATATATATATGTATTGGTAATATTCTTAATTAGCTATAAAAAAATCATCGTCTTGTAACGTAGTCTCTTATTGCATATGATGAATTTGTGTTAATAATAACTATATCAATTCACACTCCAGGAGATTTGGTACGGTAAACGTGACAACTCAAGATTGTGGGTGTTGTCTTGTCAGTTCTCAGCGTTTAGCACAGCCTAGCCAACATTTACATGATGTTTTCTTATGGAGTATAAGAAATACTGAAGCTGGTTGCTCCAAAAGGTCACAAATTAATAACTATAATATCATGGCTTCCTCCTGTTAGGTCGAATATTCGATTTGGATATAGTTTCATTCAAAGATAGAGCTCTAACAACCTTTTAATAACTTGATTTGAATTGGTGACTTCAAAACCTTGCTTCATGAGTGGGAATTGAAGATTATCTGACCAATAATGAAACAGGATAAGAACTGACATCATATATCCGACGTGCCGAAGAACATGGGCAAATGGTGGCCATAATGGCACGTTTGAAATGAGCTCTGGAATTCAACAACTTCGAACAACGCATATACACATTATTTACATCAAAAAGGCATAAGAAACGCAAAAATTGATTCAGGTCCCTAACGAAACAGTGAAGTAATTGAATTCCGATTATTCACTACCGGTCCACTCACCCATTGTCTGGATTTTTCTATAGTTGTCTGGATTTGTTGTTGAAGTTCCTGCTACTCTCGATGTTATGTTATTTTCCCTGAGATGAATGTATCATTAATGCACAGTACATTTTATGTTATATTTCATAGCGCTCAAAAGTAAATCCCTATTATTTTGTCTATAAGTTTTGCAGAAATGCGGAATAATCCAGAAAATTGAGAAAACATCAAGATTTCACATCTTGAATAGGGATGGTTGAAAATTACGAAACCATTTTGAGATATGGACTGGGAGATTTGAAGAAAATAATTTGTCAAATAATGAAAAAAAATCTGGGGAGCTCCTAAACTTTTTCGTTAATATAACACTTGGTGTATCATAACTGAAGATCTTTGATGATACTTTTCGAATAATGATAATCAACAGTTATCACTAGTGTTGAAAAGCGAAGTTTTGTGAAATTACTCACGCTTTTCAACTTTTTGCTATTGGAATATGTCTTATAGAATGACATTTCTTATTATATTTTTACTAATTTATTTGCCAGTTCCAAATGTCAGGTACCAATCTATAACCTTTTTGTATGAATAATTATGTATAGTTGCCCTCAGAGAACATGTCGCACATGGACGGTGTCAGCTTTCTTAATCACCGCTGCCATAAAAGCGTTCAAACCGTCCAATCGCGGCTTGTTCACTGAAGACGAGTGTACTTATACATCAATGTATTGACCATTCTAGAACACGTGATTTTGAAATGGTTTTTTGAGGGGCACACAAACTATAATATAATAACAGTTTCACCAAACAAAATTATGAAATTCTTTCGGGTTCCAACTCGGATTCCAAGGAAAACGATCCCACTAATTCTGGTTTTATATGACAAATCTTGACAAAATACAATGTTTGCCCCTCAGCAACCTGTCATATGACGTAATTCTGGAATGATTAATTCCTGTGTAATCACCAAATTGCACGCTTCATATTTGTCTCTGATTTAGATTCTAATTTATTTTAGACGAATCCACTAAGGCCTGCTGAAAAGGCTTACAATAGTCAGCTTGTGGAAAAAACCTTCAATACTGGTGAAATAGGTGCCGAAATACACTTAGCTGCCTGTGATAAATCGTGCGAACACAATTTGACCATCGGACAGTATTCCATAAGGTGGAGAAGGTGAGAATTTTTTATGGAGTTGAAAACATCTACTTTTGTGTCAATATCGATTTTATCTCGATTTCATTAGGTGGTCGTAAAATTCTTCGAAAAATTTCTACTTCACCATACACAACTTAAAACTATCGAAAACATGATAAGTATACTATTTTTCTCACTACTAACCTGAGACATCACTATTATCCAAGGAATTACTTTAATGCGAAGTAACATTTGTTTTTATCGTGAGTAAATAATGATACTCGAAAAATGCCTTGGTGAAAAATTAAAAACGGTCAATATGTAGTAAGCCTGTCAATCATAGTATGCCCATGCAATCAACAACACATTCATCTTTGACTTTGGTATTATTATTATAATTATTATTATATGCTAATTAGTGATGGGTATCGACTGAGAAAGTTGATATAGGTATATGTAGATTGATAGGATGATTATTATAATTTTTTACATCAGTTCGATGGTAGCAAACATATTAAAAACAATTATCATCTGGAAAAAGTGGTACATTTTCCATAATGAAATCACCGACACTCAACCATAACATGGACATTTCTTGGATATAATAATTTCTTTATTTTCTCAAATTACCTCGCACACCAACAACGTGGTAATACAAATAAAGAAGACTAAAACGTCAAAAAGTACGAAACATTGTTATACATATAACATATAGAATAAAAGATATATAGATAAAATGACAAATATAAATAAATGAAACTGGATATAGGTGTAGAAACAACACATACACGTCATAAATAAAATTGACAAATATGTATAAATAAAAGTACAAATGGGAAAACACAGAGAAACTCCTCTACAATGATATAATGTAAGTAATTCCCTCCTATATAAACATATGGTACAGGATTACAGATAAAATTCATCTATACTGTAGCAGTTCTTTGACAGAAGAAGTTGTTTCAGTTTTGATTTGAAGATATGTAAATTTCCAGAATTTCTTATGTTATCGGGTAGTTTATTGAAAAGTTTGCAGCCCTGAAACTCAGAACTTCTTTGGTAAAGAGCTGTGCGATGTTGACTTGGTAATAACAAGTGGGCATCTCGGGTAGAATGATTATGATTGGCTCTATTAGCAGCTGATGTATTTCTATTCCGGTAGATATATGTGCAAGCTTCCATTATGTATACTCCTGCTAGCGTTAAAATTTTCAAATTCTGAAAACTTTGTCTACATGAATCTCTATAGCCCAACTTGGCAATGATCCGAATAGCATATTTTTGTATACAAAACACCCGAGATACGGTAGAGGAGTTGCCCCAGTTCAGAATGCCATATTTAAGATGCGAATTGATGTTTGCATAGTAGACGGTCAATAGAGTACTTTGGCCACAATGGTTGGAAAGAAACCTAAGAGAATAACAGGATTTTCTAAGTTTATTACATAAGTTGTCAATATGAGTCCTCCATTGAAGTTTGTCATCAAAAACAACACCCAGCATTTTTGTTGAGTTAGTTAGGTTCAGTTCCAAAGCAGTATCAACAAACTGGTTCAACGTATATTGTTGTCCAGTATTCATCTTGAAATTCAACACGTTAGTTTTAGCTTCATTCAGCATTCAGCATATACAAGTCCAATGTCATTTTGAGGCGGATAGTTTGTTTGACAACTGGGCTCTCAGGTTACTCAATGTAAAAAAATGTGTGTTGGATAAGGAAATAAATGTTAGATAAAATAAAAAAAGTGGAAACACATATGTATCAAATCATGTTGGACAGATTCTTATTATTCATTTCAAATAAACATTTGGCGATAATATCAATTAGATACTTCAATTACAAATTTTGTATATTTTTTTCGCGAGGGTTTAGATAAAAATTAGGATAAGTTTATTCTTCAATTAAAATTTCAATCACTTATATTTTTCTATTGTGCAAGTTGCTGACGCTTTTATTCAACTTCTTGTATCAATTCCTTGAAGTTAGTATTGTACTGTCTTACAGTATGGATTTTTACTACATTAAATTTTGTCAATTGCATTCAAGGGTGGATCCAGCCCTCGCATGAGGGGGGGTCACGGGCTCAAAATCACAATATTTATAAAGGGTGTTCCAAAAAATAGGTGCTCCGTTACTGTATGATAAGTGGAACAATGCAAGCCAAGTTGGGATTGCTCAGTAAAAAAATTACGTTATAGGATCTGTATATGTTTTGGAAGCTGACGCATATCACATGAATTTGTTTTCATATCTAACTCTCGTAGCGAGGGTGCTCGTTACTAGGGCTGTGCGATATTGGAAACTGGATATCGATATCGATGCACGCTTTGGTATCGATATATATCGATATAACAATATGTACCTATTTATCGATATACACAGTACACAGTGTACACCGTACACCTCAGGTGTACACAGTACGATATATCGATATATACAGGATGTTTCGAAATTCGACCGACAACGTTTGACAGGTGATAGCCCTCGTGATTTCATAATCACTGAGATAGGGACATAGGGTCTTTAAGTGTTCAGTTCTCGAGATACAGGGCGTTAAAGTTGAGAAATTAAAATGGTTTTTTAGCAATATCTCAAGAAAAATTGAATGTAATGCATTCAAATTCGTTATATGGTTTGATCTTTCAATGGTTAATTTTTTGATCAGACAGACATTCCGAGAATGTTATCCAGAGGTGCGCTACAGAGGGTTGTGATTACTTTTCCGCCCATATTTTCTACGCCACTGATGAAATTTCAATTATTTCTAATTTCTTGAAATGATTGTTCACTTATGTTGAAAAAATGCATCACATTCAACTGAGCTAAAATGAACAGTTATCGAGATATTTGACCCAAAATAGAAGATTGCATAGTAATTTTTCATCTTCCTCAGTAGTAGAAAATTACAAAAATTGTTGTTTCCCCTTTGTGCGTGGAATAACTATTTCTGTTCAGCTATAGAATGAGATCTGAATAGTATCTAATCTACTCAACACCAGAAAAATATTTTTGTAATTTTGTACTACTAAAAATGATAAAATATTACTATGCAATCTTCAATTTTGGGTCGAATATCTCGAAATCTGTTTATTTCAGCTCAGTTGAAGGTGATGCATATTCTGAACAAAATTGAACAATGGATTCGAGGAATTGGAAATAATCGAAATTTAATCAGTGGCGTAGAAAATATGGGAGGAAAAGTTGCCACAACCCCCTGTAGGGCACCACTAGATTAAATGTCCGGAATGGCTTCCTGGTCAAAAAATTACCCATTCAAAGATGAAACCATATACCGAAGTTGAATGCATTATATTCAATTATTCTTGAGATATTGCAAAACAACTATTTTTATTTCTCATCTTCAACGCCCTGTATCCCGAGAACTGAACACTTTAAGACCGTATGTCCCGATCTCAGTGATTATGAAATCACGAGGGCTATCACCTGTCAAGCGCTGTCGGTCGAATTTCGCAACACCCTGTATATCGATATATCGATATTTTTGCGCAGCCCTAGTTCGTACTGATAAGTTTCAAACATAACTTTTTTGTGTTTAGATGTTCTAGTCCAAATATCAGATGAACTTGAAAATCTTTCAATTTTACACCAAGAGGTACTTGTTTTTGGATGTATGATGAATTGATATTCATCATACAGGACGTGGAAAGGAATTCTGAATTGAGAAAACCTAATTACGAATCTGCGATTGAGGTCTATAAAAATAACAACATCTTTTTGGATGTTCAACAGATATAATTCAATGTTCGACTTGGCAAATGGCCAGGAAAGTAGTTGTTGTTTTTTGTTGAATATTCAGAATGATATTATGAGCATATCTTTATATGAAGGAGAATGCAAATTCTCTACTTCTGAAGATTTCGTTTTTAAATTCTTATCGTGTATATTCAACAGATATAATTCAATGTTCGTCGTGGCATATAGCCAGGAAAGTAGTTGTTTCATCCTAATGTTACTGTTTTTGGTTTTTGCTTAATATGTCATTAATAATCTGGAACTTTATTTTCGGAGTTTCCTTTGGGTTATTCAGTGTTGCTCAAATTAAACGAGATTTCGAATGGGTATTATTCTTCATTTATAGAAAAAACGGATATACAACCTCGACTAACCTTCACATAACTGGACTGTCCTGTGATTGGATACCGCTCGGTATAAAACTAAGAGTGCCTGCCCACGGATTTGTAAGGACTCCAATGATACTGAGCTACCTTATTGAAAACAGATCTACAGACCTGATTCAGTTAGAAGTATCTATGGAAGCAAGTGAAGCTTTCATGTTTGCAGGATATAAACAGGTTAGTTTTTGTCATGAATTATTAACAATTATTATTAACATTATTCGAATCTATAATATACAAATTATGTGCTTGAAAGTTTGATGTGATATCTGACTGAAAATAACTTCTTGTCTAACACGACTCTAACGATTATTAAATAATATTCACTAAATTTATGTGAAAATCTAAGATGAGAAATGACAGTTAAAATATGTATTTTTCTCCCCAATAACATATATACATTTTTCTCCCCAATAACATATATACATTTTTACCCAGACCCCGTAATGCCTTTGTCGCGTACTGGAAGAAAAAACAAAGTTTCGCGGCAATAGCATATTCACTCGTTTTTAGATAATCGTTAAAATTATCAAACTACATATTTGTGATAAATACATGATTGCCCTAAAATCAAATGACAATGTACAAAATATGTTGACATTTCTTGAAAACACTCAAACATGTCTGACTGATAATAATCGTTATTGTACTTTAGCATTAATTGTCAAATTTGAAAGTGACGTTTGGTTTGGCGGTCGTTGCTTTGGGTAAGGCGTTCTGTGTCGTGAACGCGAATACACGAAAAAAATTATTAATCTGCCAATTTGAGAAAGTGCCTGCTCAGTTTTATATCAATCCAAGTAAATTGATGATATTTATATAAACTGAATGAAACCTACAAAGAAACGAAAATAAAATCTCAGGAAATCTGACCTGCAACTCATATAGCATATTTGACTGGATTGCACTGTCATGGTAGAGATGCGCTGCACTGATGACATTATGGATATTCTACTGATATGTTTAGCACAACGTTGACTGCTGGATCTAACGATCTAATCAATGATTTAACTTCAAAATTGACGAATTATCCAAGCATTTTTTAAATTTTGAAATATAAAGACCACATTTGAAAATTATTTTGTTCAGAGTATGAGAATAATTGTTTGTGACCTAAAAAGTCGTGCATAATTAGATAGAAATACGATTTTGACACTCTTGCATTTTTTTTTCCCTCTCTAAGTGAGAAGACAACCGATAGATCTACACAAGCGGAAAAATGAAAAGATACCTGTCTGAGCAATAGATAAGAAAGATGAAAGTTGACGGCTTTGTATGTGATGTTCATGCCTACTTGAGGTCATGGTGCCAATATGCAATGATGGCGCACTTCAACTTATGACCTACAATAATAAAAATATATGTTGCTATCTTAGAAAGTGACTCAAATCAAGGAGTTACTTATAAAGTCCACCAGCTTAGTCTGTGGCTTAGTCATCAGTCCCAAGCGAGAAAGCTACGACTGCGATGAAAGGGTAGGGGATATGATGTCGTACTGCCTTATTTCAATATTTTCCGCATAACAGTGCACTAAGCTTCAAAACATGTCCTGATAATTGATGCATTAAAGTATGGTTTTGGTGGAGCCGACTGTATGATTCACAACTGTCATATAAAATAAAAAATAATGTTATTTCTTGTAATATTTAACTGTGATAACAGTGCACTATTCAAAGCTAATTGATACATTAAAGTATGGTGTTGGTGGAGCCGACTGTATGATTTACAAAATATAAAATAATTTTTTTTATGTTCTGGTTCCCACAATTAGGAATATTCTGTAATGAATTTAATGTCATAATACAATAGTTATTTATACACCAAGGTAGTGAAGGATATCATTATTACCCAGGGATAAAGATATCTCGGTGTGTAAGCCGAGGGATATAAGGTCCCGTGCTAATAGTAATATAATTGTAATTATATCTAAAATCGTTCAGTTAGATTGTTTTATTAACCTATATTTCAACAAATAAGTGAGAAGTAGACCAAATTTCGTCGCTGCTGATCGAACCTACAATGTGCTACATTAACCTACTGGATTACCTTTTCCAGTTGTATTTCAGAAAGTGACAATTGTATTACAGAATAGTCAATTTATTATCGGAAAGCATCAATTGTATTCCAGAATATATAATTTGAATAAAAAATGTTGCTCTGAAATTCAATTGAGCTCTTTTCTACCTTGAACGAGAGAGAGGAAAGTTCTCTCCTCTTCTATCTTTCTCTTCAATGCTACCAACGTGGCCGCATTGAAATATAGAGAGGTCCGATAAATCTTTCCTTGTCTAACCTCTAGTCTGCGCCACTGAACTATTTTCGATATTATAATGACGTGATATGTCTATGTCATGAATGTCATTGACTGATGACATTTCGAATTTTCAAAAGGAAATTTTGATTTATATCATACTTACTTTGACATAATTTGTTAATATCGTTAAATTTGACAGTCTGCTGAATTGAAAAATAGTTCAGCAGCACAAAGTAGATCTATATTTCAATGCGGCACGTTGGTAGCATTGAAGAGAGAGATGGAAGAGGAGAGAACTTTTCTCTCTCTCGTTCAAGATAGAAAAGAGCTCAATTGACTATTCTTCACGCCTTGAATAGGAGTACATAATGGTAGGTTCTATAGCTAGTGGTGGAAACAATGTCATTACCACACAAGGTAGGCTTTAGGTACAAGCAACATGAGCATACTGGGAATTCATGTGAATAATTCTTTGTAATCAACATGAATATAAAAAGTCAATCATTGAAGTACAATATCAATAGAAGGTTTTATATTGCTATTGCTTCATTATTGTTTTCTTGTGATGAATAACGAACGTAAGGTTTCATCTTTTTTGAACAAAACGATGAACTAAATATGGAACTGATGACCTGTTTTTCTTCCCTTTTTTTAGTTCGTGATATCAATTCTTCCGAAATCTGTTAGGACACTCCAGTACAATTTGAACCCCTTGATAGCAGGCAATGTAGCCTATCCAAAATTGTCACTAAAACTCCCAGAAAATGCCGTCGAAGATAAAGTTCCAAGTATTATTGATCAGGAAGAGTTGAATTTGCTCATTCAGAGGTCCCTGTCTACACATATCTATGTCATGGTGAGTAAATTATTATTAATAATACTTCTCGTGATGATTCACGTGGTTATTCGTCTTATGAATCAGTTAATGCAGCACAGCAAACGTGCAAAAATTTCAAAAGTGGAATAGGTGACGTGTGTCAATTATTGTTGATTACATTTTCTTGAGATCACGGTTTTCTCTGAAGTGGACAATCGAGAGTTTGCTGCAAAACCACTGTTTCAAAAAGTGGCGCCAAAAAAGTGTTTCAAAACTATTCCTCCATTGTTGATATTTGAGAAACAATATTTTTTTATCACAGATAGTCCTATAAACTTCAGAGAATTGCCTTTTTATTATTTATAAGCCATTGTTTCAGTTCTAGTCCATAGAGTTGTCGTAAATGAATTTCTTCTAACTTTGACATTTAATTTGATACTTTTCAAGACTGACAGAAGTTTTGAAACGCCGTATTTTAGGCAATTGTACGTAACCAATTGCGTAAAGTAAAATATTACATGACTGGTGATGAACTGTTCAATTCAAAACCAGTTATGGAATGAAAATATGTACGTCATTTTTCACTAGTGAAAATATTGAAGGAGTCTATTTCGTGAATTTCGTCGCTGATTTGTGACCATATCATTGTTTGACGGATACTTCATAATGACGGGCGAAGTCAAAAAAGTGTTTAAAAGTGTTTTTAACCGCCAGCTTAGTAGTCAACTTGCCTGCTAAATTTTGTGTACAGGGTGATTCACCATAAATGTCCCCCCCTCTAGCTCAGTTGTTTTTGAACCGATTTCAAAATTTGAAATATCATCTTAAATGATTTTCGATAAAGTTTTTTTCCGCTACATCAGAAAATACAGGGTGCTCGGAACAAACGATCTACAGGGTACTATTCGATTTTTTTAAATGGAACACCCTATTTTTCATTGTGTCTTTAGATTCTCCCTGAAGAGCTGATTTGATCAATGCATCACACTTGGGGTCTAGCGGCAATGATTACAGAGATATAGGGTGTTCAAAATCGAGAGTTTTCAACTTTAGGGTTTTTTTGTGACGAAACTATTCATTATCGGTCAAAACGGCTCTCATGTCCGTATCTTAATTGTAGATTTACTATCTACTGACATTTAATAATTGTAACAGATACAGGGTGATCATAATTCTGAATCTTGAACCACCCTGTAAATTTTCCAATTAAATGTCAGTAGATAGTAAATCAAAAGTTGAGATGGGGACATAGAAGCCATTTTGACCAATAATGAATAGTTTCGACACAAAAAAATCCTAAAGTTGAAAAATCTCGATTTTGAACACCCTATATCTCTGTAATCATTCTCGCTATACCCCAAGTGTAATGTATTGATGAAATCAGCTCTTCAGGAAGAATCTAAAAATACAATGAAATACAGGGTGTTCCATTTGAAAAAATCAAGTAGTACTCTGTAGATCGTTTGTTCCGAGCACCCTGTATTTTCCGATGCAACGGGAAATTTTTTTTATGAAAAATCATTCTAGATTATTTTTCAAATTTTCAAATTGGTTCAAAAATAAGTGAGCTAGAGGAGGGACATTTATGGTGAATCACCCTGTACATTATAAGGCCTGTTCGTTTGTGCTAAAACTAAACTAATGTAGAACTGGTCATTATTTCTGTTCAAGCGAAAAAAAAAACATAACATAAATGGTTAGGAATCGAATTTGGTTTTACTCTGTGTTTCCTAACTGGTTACGTAATAGTAATTTTCCTAACAAGTGCGGAAAGTGATTCTTTCCCGCACGTGACTGCCGTTGACACGAACGACGCGAAGCGGAGTTCGGGCAAGCAGTCGAGTGCGGGAAAGAAACTTTCCGCATGAGTTAGGAACAATATTTTTTCTACAAGCGTAGGAAATTGATTGAATCGTTCAATTAATAATTATTCAAGCAAATAGAAACAACTAACAAGAGATATATATTCTCTATCTATTAATTATTAGTAATAGCTATTGTGAACTTACAGTTTGACGCATTATGTTGGTTCATTGCGGAAGCCAGCAGGCCCATTAGGAGTTTGGTCTCTAGGTTCCAGACACTTTTATGAAATGAGCCAAAAATACCTATTCTTCATTCGGTTTTTTCATTTCTTTATTGTTGCACCATTCAATAAAACGTGTGTATAGCTTCTCATACCTTTCTTAAGACTTCGTTGGTGATAACGCATCTGTATCAAATCCCTATAGCTAGAAGTTCTTGATCACATTGTGGTATTTCCACTGAATCGAAAATGACAGTAACGCTGTGTCTGTCACTTCGACAATTTCAAACTTATTTGAGGTTTAATTGGCATGACAAATTGACGTTTCCCGTCAGATCAATCCAAATCTATAGGGGGATTTCTATAATAATCAATTTTTATTTCTCAATATTTCTTAATTTTTACAATTAATAATGCAATTTGATGGATGATTCTGAACATACATACTTAATACTGCAACAAACAAACTTAAACTTCTAAATTCCATCACCAACCACTTATATTACTAGTGATTTCATCATATCTTTGTTTTCCCGCACTGTTGTGGGAAAATGACACTTCCCAAACTAAATTACGTGGGGGTATAGGGTGAATCACGCACGCTTGTAGAAAAATATATATTGTGTTTAATTTTTCAGCCCCAAGCCAAGGGTCAACCCAAACTTCCAACTGTAATATCACCTAAAAAGATAATGTTTGTTAGTTAATTGATTTCAGATTCCATTGCGAATCATTATTTATTATATGTTTTAATCAAATGTTATTATTTCTCAATATATTATATCTTATGTTGATTAGTTGAACTTCTTTCCTAAATACCTATATCAACGAATTTTTTCTGAAACTAAATATTTGCGAACTCCTAGGACTTCCGCTTTTATCGCAAGTGGACTAAAATTTAGCTATTTTATGCACGTCATGTTCATAAAGGTCCCAGAACAATGTACCATACATTCTACAGGGTGAACTAGAGACCACAATAGACAGATTGAAGTTAGCTCACCATGAAAAACAGTTTTATTTACAGATTTTCTTATATATTTCGAAATCCTTGAAAGGTACTGCGCTGTGATATTTGAAGGGCAATACACTATAGTGGATGTGCATGGAAAACATGTACCAATTGAATCAACATACAGGAAGTTAGGTATTTCACATTCTCTTTGATACAAAGTTAATACAAGTTAACTTTTTTAGAGTACGGCACTGACCACATTTTGATATTTCAAAGAATGACATAATCTCACTTTCTTTCAAGATCAATTATCAATCAATTAGATCAATTAATGAAAACATCCTGTAACTCATTTGTAGACTGAAATCCTTCATTCATATGCCAACATCAGTATGACACTGGGAAGTGTCAAACTAGCTGTAAGCAGAGCACAACTTCCAAAGAAAAATATTTTGCATTTTCATGTTGAAAGCAGATTCGTTCCCGAAACGTACAAAGATAAGTAAAAATTCGATGTTTTTTCAATATATTTATATTTCTTTCCTTCAAACACTTTTTCAAATAGAGTTTCACTGACAAGCTACTGGATTTTTCTTTCAGGCTTCCTGATAGAAAAATTTGTTAAAAGCAGTGACATTTTGGCAAATCATCTGATTTGTCCCACTACAAATATATTGAAATAATACGCATATTTTCATTTTATAGAAACGAGGAGAAAATCCCAAAAAAATTGAGTAAAATGAATGTACCACCTCCTCGATTAACCTACAGACAGTATTTATCAAAATATATTGTTTAAATACAAATAAGAGTAGCTTGTCATGTTCTCATAGAGATTAACGGTCCAACGATATAGCCGTTGAAAATATACGACTGAACGGATAAGACACCTGCTGAATGGACACGACCATCAGCGCTACCAATTCACGACAATGTATGAGGTTGACCTTCAAAATCATTAAGATCTTATCACAATTTTATCATCCAATATCATTGTTATTTTCATATTTCCATCGTTTCTTGCCGGAATGGGGATTTGAAAGCCCATCAATGGAATGATTGCCCGCTTATTGATCGTAGGGATTGATGGCCCCGTACCAACGCTATAGTTATTTTGCCGCAACATCTAGTTATGGGCCTTCATTTTACCGCAAATGTTTGTTGGGTATTCAAGACCTAACCAGACCTGAGATTCTAAGGCTCGTCATATTTGCTCCAAACTGCAGCCATTTTTTTCATTCCCAGATTTAATCCTCTGATGTGACTTGGAAAAATTGCTTTCATATAATTCATACAAATAACTATAGTGAAGTCATCACTTCTAAATATAAATTTTTAGAGAATTACTCATTTGCTGTTATTAGGTATTTTCTATTATAAATCAATTGCTGCTGTTGATATTATCTTATTGGTTTTGGAAGACTGACCAATTTTTTCGTGCTTCACAGATCAATGTCAGTTTCGTGAACGTGAAACATTTTTTGAACCATTTCAATATTCATTTCTGAGAACATATGTCACTCAAACGAAATTTTGACTCATCAAATCATTCAAAGTTTACTTATGTATTTTCTCCAAAGTTCATATGTTGTATATCGTTAAAATTTCATCTATATTGCATTAGGTTTCACTTTAGTGTTTATGTATATGATTATTGATATCATAAAGGCCATAAAATATTTTTAAAACTGTTTTTTCGTGGGGATCGATTTAATAACCATATCATTGAAATCTTGGTTTCATGCCAAGTCATTTATGACGGACATTATCAGTCGATAATTTTGTGAGTACTAAATGACAGAAAATGCACTCCTGCAAGTTCATTTTGCAAAAAGTATGTGATTTTTGTTAGTGAAAATTTTCCGGCTGGACAGGTATGGATGACAGGGTGTTCCAGATCCCTCGTTTCACATTTCGTAGAGGATAGCACCGAATACAGGGTGATTCCTAAGTTGATACTTTTTTAACTATGTATAATAGAACTCTTCAAAATGGTCTAATAAGTTTTCAAAAAACTGAAATATAAGCGAGATACAGAATAAAAAAAATCTGGGCTTGTGCATCAAGACGTACCTAGTCTGTTTTTTGCTCCGATTAGTTAGTTGAACACTTTAATATGAATGTATATATATAAATTTGACATCCGGACATTAGACATGTTTTGTAATAATGTTACTATTCTATTTTTCAGTTTTGCTTAAAAGTAATTTGAAAAACTTGTTCATGCATTTTAATGGTATGGTAATGGTATTCGGTAAGAACAGTTCACATCGAATTATTATTAATGAAATACTAAGATTATTCGTTATGGAAAATACTAAATACTTACCGATTTTAGTTACGCAAAATATATTAATAAGTTAGCTGGTGGTACTTCAAAGTTTCAAACCATTATCCTTGACTAAATTATTTATTCCACTAATACTATAGGAACTCGAAGCAGTATGTAGTTATAATAAAATTCACTTGCATACCTTTGTTATAGGTAAAATTCAAATGAAAGGCAATAATATATATGTGATAGAATAAATTCGACATAATTCGAAGTTGAATGTAAATGCCATTTTACCTATAACCGTCAAAAAATTGCCAGTGTAATTTCATGATCCTTACCCCAAGGAGAAGCAAAAAACCGGAAATGTCTTCAGTTGCTATGGTAACGATACGAAATACACGCTTTCGGTTGGTCAAAAACGTTATAGGTGTGGAATTTTCACTCATAATGCCACGAGAGCTTCTATTATTACCTACCGTACATTATTTTGAGAACACGAATATTTTGAAAATTGTCTAGTGTCGAACTCGAGGATATAGGATTAAGCTAAATAAAATTAAAAATACCCACTGCAGTCGCGCAAAATATTGATAAGGCAGTTAGTGGTAGTTCAAAATATTATTTTTCATTGCACTAAAGTTGCTGATGGAAATATATTTTGTTACAAGGAACTCGACAGTATACAGGGTGATTCAAAATTCGATGTGAATATTTCAAGGACGTATTTTTAGGATCAACATAAGACTTTTCCTTCTCATAAACATGTGTCCTAAAATGCACCCCCTTCAAGCTACAGCCACTGTAAGTTGGCGAAAAAAATATCTGAAATTATGATCATTCTAACGGATCAAGTGCAAGTATTCCAGTACCGCACGCCGCTGAAATAGCAGTTTTGAATGCATTCTGACATACGATCACCTCCGTATGCATGCGTTCAACCCATTGCATTTGAAAACGATGTCGTGACTTCCACTTTCGTTGATTACCATTTTCTGGCAAAGGATTAGTTGTATGAAAAAAATAATAAGAGACCGAATTTTTACATTTTTTCATGGCATACAAGATAATGTTATTCAAAGTCAGTTTCTCTTTTAAAACATAACATTTGGCCCAATAAAAGTGTGGACCCCCTTCAACTACCCCAAAACTGGCTTTACATCATTTGTGGAGCAAAAAGGAAATTGAGTGTCCAAAAAAGATGATAATTTTCAGATTTTTTTTATCGCTTGGAGCGCATGAAAGGGAATCCCTATAATGTTCAAAGAACATCGTGCGTTCCTAGGGAGGATAGGGACAGGAGGTAGGTATTGAAATTTTTTTTGAACTTTTGGAGATTATATGTTGTTGGGAATACTTCCACAGGCAATGAATTCCAGAGCCTAGCCGTTCTATGGATGAAGGAGTCTTGATAAAGTGCTGTTCGACATCTTTCGAGGTTGACAACGAAAGGATGTGCTGACTGGGCTTGTCTAGTTCGTCTGATTGGTATTGCTAGTGAAGGGATGATAGCAGAGATTTCCAAAGAACATTTCGCGTGGAAGTATCTATAGAAAAGTGAAAGGTCGCCGACCTTTCTACGGTGTTCCAATGATGTGAGTGTGGCGTCACCCGCCTGGCGAATGGCTCTTCTCTGGATGGAATCTAAGAGCATCAGCGTATGTTTTGGTGCTGAACCCCATATGTGGGAACAGTATTCTAGAACAGGCCGTATCTGCGTTTTGTAGATCATGAGAAGCTGTTGAGGTGTAAAGTAGCTTTTCGCACGGAACAAGAATCCGAGTTTTTGTGAAGCAGCTTTTGCGATGGATCTGACATGATTATCCCATGAAAGAGTGTTGCTGATGGAAATACCGAGCATAGATATGGTGGGCTTGGTGGGGATGGTGGAGCCAGACATTACAATATCGGGCATACTGAGTTCCGCCTTTCTAGAGAAAATGCAGGCTTGAGTTTTGGTGGAGTTGAATTCAACTAGGTTGTTTGTTCCCCAGGCTGTGATTTCAGCAAGATCTTCATTGACAGCATTGACCTGCCTGCGCCGTGAGTTTCCTGGGAAGAAATGGGAATTCTGGAAGAGAACGCAGTATGGAGGGTACTATCATCTGCAAAGCTGTGGATGGGACAAGTTGTTACTCCCAACAGATCATTGATATGAAACAGGAATAATGTTGGTGCCAAAATTGATCCTTGTGGAACGCCGGAATTGGTCCGTCATTTTAGTGAAAATCCCACACCAGTGATTTTTCGTTTTTATACAGTTAAATTGGGTTTTTATGACAAATTACCATAGCAACGTATGTATTTTAGTGGACATTTTTTTCTCGTGGGTACCCACCAGCGTATGAAATCGGAATTTTTTTTATGACGTTTTAATGACAGAATAATATTTTGACGTCCTAAAATAGTAATTTTGTGCCACTTCAATTGGGTAGAAATCAACAATTAATAGGCTAAGAATCCATTGATGCCCTAACTAGAATG